TTCAAATTTTGCGTTAGGTTTTTGGTAAAATTTAACACCTTTTATTAATTATCTTTTAAATAAGCGTAGGTAGGAGTTAGTATTATAGAAATAGAAGTAGCTATCCGTTAAAAATGACTAAAGAAAAATAATACGACCACATTGCGTTCCTAAAAGCATTTTCCTTCAGCTTAATTGGAAACGACGCAATTTATCTTCGTAGCGAATATTTTTCTTTACTCTGGTCAGTGTAGTTGTCGAGAAAAAGCAAACACAGGCAAAGTTATCCACACCTACGTCTCAGTTGTCGTATGAAAGAAATCTAATATCCTTTGGGAAAACACAGTCGGTGATAGCGCAGCTCGGAGGAAAATAAAATATTCACCGTCAAAGATTTCCTTGAGATAAAACCGGCTTATAATATTGTCCAGAAGGGTTCGCAAGTATTTTGTAAAATAATGATTTGTCAAATATAACTCGAGTGATAAAGACGTATTGTTTGGGTGGAGTTTTAGTGGGACGGTTACAAAAGATATGACAACAACAGAGACATGCAATATGTTTTTACGATATAATGGGGAATACGGGACGCGTATTGTGTGAAAAATGTGGAGATATTTTATTGGATGTATTCTGTTACTTATGTAATATAGGTAAACGATCTACTTAGTTCGTTTGTATCCATTATATACACATGCGTTGTACGTAGATACGTTTGTTTGAGTAATAATAAATGATAAGTTTCTATTAGCATGACATTGTCCTCAAACTTTGTCAAAGTAGATAACTCTGTTCACCCAGCTCATTAAAGTTTTGAAGTCACGACTAGTCTCAAGCAATTGCCACAACTTATCGTCAGTGAAACAGAAACCACATGTCAAATTAATTAAATTACTTACAATGAGTGTAACAATGAGTGTAATCGAATAACAAAGGTAGAAAAAGTTGAATAATTTGTAAATAGTCAAGATTTAGGCAGATGTTACGTTTTATGATTGTTTATTCTAATAAAGATTTATAAAAAAGATACCATCTTATATAACACTTGGCAAAACTAAAATAAAAGTATTGCGAACTATCGAAAAACCGCGGTCAAAAAAGTTGTTCCTTTCTTTCTTTCTTTTTATTTATTCTCAAACAAAACCGGGACCAAAGAGCTAAGAACGAAATGTTTATTGACAAACTTTTGTAAGAAGCTGACAGCGTTACGGAACAAATGTCAGATCGGATAAGAAGGAATTCGTCGGTTAGATCGGGCGCCATTGCACTTACTGTTATGATGGATACCGCTTCCAAACGATTTGTAGCCATCTCCAAAAATTGTAAGCTGTTATTTTTTATTGTTTTCGTATTTGTTTTGTCAATCAAAACAATCAAAACAATTTCTTATTTCGTTTTACATGACTTGGGAAATAACACCACAAACAATATTAAAGGGACCCTGTGAAGTACATTTCGCGAAATGGAATAAAAAATCCCAGTAAGGTCTTTGGTTACATTAAGTTTTGTTTACATATACAAAATAATAAATAAATAAATATACTCTGGGTGAACATTCATTTAAAGTTTATTTTACCACTAAGTTTACTTCAATTTACAGCCGAGTTTAACTAATCTATCAAAATTGTGTTAACATATGAATATGATATTTGCTATATGCTAAATATCTACACACTACACAAGCAACCATATCATCAATATCAAAACTATAAATAAAAGTAATTTTTAAAAATGTTTGCAAGCAATTTTCATGACTTAACTCGATACTTTTTCATTTTCTTGGCAACCTGTATGTAACAAGCATTTAGAGAAGTAACGAAGAAGTAAATAAATATTCTGTACCGACATCAGATGAAAGTTCTGCACAACTTTCAGACGTAACATGTCACCAAAGAAACGTTCATGTGAATAAAACCTAATTTAAGCTACAAAAAAGGAAAAGTCACGAGCCTTTTGCTCGCGTAAGTTGACTTTTTACCGCCGCGTACTTTTGCTAGTGTTGTACTTACAACAAAATATCGGCAAGCGCGCTTCACGAAATTTCTCGCGATTCTTAACAGTGTTTCTGTTTGCCATGAATAATTCATTGTTGTTTAACATTATCGGAGTTGGGATTATCTATAAAGGACAAGGGATTGATTTGAAGGTGTACGAACTCTAAAACAATAGATTATTGAGCTTAAACAAATATCCCTTCAGTGATAATCCTTTGTTTTATTGCCAAGCCAAGTAATCCAAAATGAAATAATCTGTTAAATATAATTAACTTTTGGGGTTTTTCTATACTTACTTAAAAAGATTTGGCAAAACGACCATGAAAAGGAAATTTAATTCAGTAATTTTCTTTCTTATAACTCGATTCTAAATGATAAAAGTTTTAAATGGAACCACTTCGAGATCAAATATTTCGTGGAATTGGTTGGTACCCTTCCGGAAATGGGATCATAAAGCCACTTTTGGCTGCCTTTGAAGTTATAACTGTGCTTTATTTTATACTGCTGTGCCAATACCATTTAGCGTGACCGTAAAACATTGCGTATCCTTTCTTTACCTAACAACCTTACATTTAAATTTTCCAATAAATATATTATTCGTCGTCATTTAAAAAATAATTTTTGTTACTTACTTATGTGTCAATACAATTTGATTTATATGTTTAAATGAAAGACAAATGTTTATTTAATAACAGAAATAATCCTTTCAACAAAAATATGAATCATGTTATTTCCCTTTCGGAAGCATGTTGTCAAAACTGAAAAGCGAACACCACAAAGAGAATGGGACGCAGGTGGAAATATGTTCTGCCATACCGTGTGCCGGGCAGCGGGCGTGATTTTGGCAATATTTTCAAACGAGATTTCACAGAAGCCCGATATGTGAGCGGTCTCAAAGTCTGATAGGATTTTTTTCAAATTGAAAAGGTCTGCGTCCGACCGATGTAGCATTGGAAGATAAAACGTTGTGTAATAGTTGGTCACGTAACGTGTTCAAGAATATAACATTCCACTCATGACTCGCTAACTTTCATGTAATATGTAGCGTGCCTATCTGCGTATCAAACCTTGCCTAAGAATGTGATACAGATCATTGTTATGTATCAAAATGTTTAAAAAGCCAGTAGTGTCATGACAATAACACGTCAGATTGAACTTTATTTTTAATAAATAATATAAAAACGACACAATTCTATAAATTGTCAATATGATTATTGAATTTTGCTTAAACTACAATTATTTTGAACTCTTGCATTATCTGGAAGAGTTTTTAAATTAAGCAATCAACGAGAATACAGTTATATTTAAAAAATCTAGTAGTTTTATTTGTGAAAGATGAATTTATTTTTGACTGACTCATCGTCGCTGTTGCGCTAAGATGTAAGTAACAAAAACATCGTTAGCGCAGTGAGTGGAGAGCTCAAGTTGCAAGCGATTTTTGAGTACTTGTGGAGAAACTAAGCAACGTTTTATTAGGATTTACGATACCATAATTCTCAACATTAGTAAGAACATTTATTCTCTGCGCATTTCTACTAACCTTGTTGGAAGAAAATACAGAATATTCAAAAGGAAAGAAAAGGATTTATTCGTTATCAGCGACTGTTATAAATGTGTTACTGAAACGTTCAGGGAGTACAGAAGGAATATCAGTCGTTTATCTTTCGCATACCCTTGTATCTTGTCATTCAGTGATGGAATGGTCTTAAGCTTGGGAATTGAGAGAACTCATGTAATACCAACGCATACTCCGTTTAAACTATCCTATAAAACAAATCTGTCTTTAGCGTTCATTTTAATTTATCTTCACATAAAACATATTCATTTAAAAGGGACATTGACCTCCATCTATTCATTTTCAACAATTTGTCAAATCACAACTTACGTACAAATTGTTTAATGGTTTAATATAAACTCGATAAATTAATAATCTCAATAAATAAAAGCTAGTAACAGAGATAATAGAATCAGTCATAGCAATGAATATGTTAGAGGAAGGTTGTAAGAAGCGTTCGATAACAAAGGAGCTGATAGCCAACCGCCTCAAAGAGCAGATAATGTACCAACCCGGCTAATAAATATGCAGCCAGTCGTGTGCAATATCAGGATATTACTCGCGTTGCCATAGATAAGATAGTAATTTCACCCTTCACTCAACCCCTTCGAACGTTAGGGGTAGAAATAGGAATTGTAATATTCCCCCTATTCAAGCTGTTCGTAATAAGCCCTAATACCTATACAGTGAAACTTTTATGTAAGGTTAACGTTTATTTTTATTGTGCATTTACAATCTATTACTATTGGTGAATTTGGTTGACTTGTTAGAACAAATAGAAATGCTGATTTATGTATCAAAGTCAATGTCAAAAACGAAGTAAAATAATTGGTTTCAAATAGACAACAATAGACACTTTTTAACTTCAAACAAAATAATTAAATTTCAGAAGTGCATCTTTATTTCTGTCAGTCTGTGTCCCCCAAATCTAGCGTAGCTATTTTCTCGTTCCAAAGTATATTAATACATTATTTTTCAATAAATGTCACAATTCATTTATTTGTTACATCATTTAGTCGGTACCATTTTGTGGTTAATTAACTCCCACATCGGTGACGAGAAAGATATCTGCAGACCTTGTGTTAAGCATTCGCATTTTCAAAATCAATCAACGAGCTAGTATATTTGACGACCACACTTTTTTATGTGGTAGGACAGCAAACGTGCAGACGAAGTGCCTGACGGTAAGCAATCAGCGCCGCCCTTGGACACCTGCAACAACGGAGGAGTTGCGAGTGCGTTGCTGACCTATTGGGGATTAGGGATTTGGAGATTTTGGGATTGGGGAGAGATTAGGGGATGGTAAGGAATGGGCCTCCAGTAACCTTACTCACACAGCGAAACACCAAACTGTGGTCGTTTTACGCCTTATCCGTGAGGCCGTGGTGGAGCCGACCCACTCGTGCCGAAGCATGCCTCTCCCACTTAAATTATCACAACATCAATCTAACTGTGAAATTTTTCTTCAACAGAATCTAAAGAACCAGATAATGACGACCAATTTGTGGGTGGAGCAGTCGTGGTACGACTACAAGTTGCGCTGGGAGCCGCGCGAGTACGGCGGGGTGCACATGCTGCACGTACCCTCCGACCACATCTGGAGACCAGACATCGTCCTCTACAACAAGTGAGACTCCTTCATATTCACCAGCTTTACATAAATATTACAGTTAAATTGTTGTTGTCAATAAATTTTGAGGGTGAAGCAGCGAACCGTGCTTTCTTTTACTTTATCTTCCACTCTGAATCTTTAATAATCTCTCTCAACTTATCTTTTGATCCGATCCGATCAATAACAAAGTCCTTCGTCAATCGCATCGCTATATTATATATTTCTATTGAGTGACTGACTGGAGCAAAATCATTAAAATATTTCCAGTAGCCTACCAACACAATTCATCTCGATTCTAAATATTCAGTCGCTCGTTACAAAACTCACGAGCGTACGAATTCTCAAATTAAAAAGCAATTCGATTTCTGTTACATAAAAGGAGAAGTCTCTCGGTGTATTTTTCTTTCTCCCCAAGCCCGCATACTTACCGTCTAATTTTTGAGATAGCATTAGCGGAGATACTGGGAACCTCCAAGAACTGGAAATTAAATTTTCGTATAATTTGTTACCAATACATTCCACGTTTCCCTTATATTTCCAAGTTGTAAGATCGATACGAACTACAAACAAGTCGAAGTTCACTGAGTTAAACTGTTCTAAGTTACTGGTGGAGAACCTAATTACGGGAGAGACGGCATCATTTACTGTGATTCTGTCTCTGGCTATATTGCCTCTAATGAAAACGAAAATGTGCTCACGACGAGGTAACACATGTAATTAACTTTGGATCGAGTTCGGAGAGAAACAGCCAAATTGGGCGATCATAATATGGAGGTGTCGGGATTAATATTATAAACATCGTAAACGAGACTAACTTGTTACATTTTATGATGAAGATATTTAGAAACTTTCCCACTTATTTCGCTGTATTTTTATTATTTCTTCGCTACTTTTGTAGTGTGTGTATGTGTGTGACATGCCAGCGTCCAAAGTGTTGCGGAAGTGTTTTACAAAAGAAGCTGAGAGCTACTCGTCTGAACTATGAACAGTGGGCGCCACGATTCGCTGCTTCACCAGACTTCTAAAATTGTACCGAATTAATACAGATGACATTCCATTTACACCTATTTTGTACTAGTGCCCTTATGTTTTACACCTACACCATTGAACCACCCTACACTGACATCTTCACATATACCCATAGTTACCAAATACTTAACAGACAATTGAAAATCCGAGTAGGTTCCTACAAAATATTTTGCAATGTCCGAAATTATAGAGTTATACAATACAAAATCATATATCATGCTTCAAAACACACATTGGTTATGTTCAAGCATAATAGTTTTGTGATAATTAGCAAATTACTAAGTGTTAGAACAAAGACTCTGAATCGTATTTTACTTACAGTGCAGTATTAGGAATAAGACTCACAAAGCATAGCATTGTCCCACAAAACCAATAGCCGTGAATTCTAACGTTGTACCCGTCCTAATTGACGGAAACCCAGAGATTACTTTTGTCCCATTTTCCCCTCCTTTACCGGGTGCCTATTTATCACTTCTTGCGAAAATATTTCAAACCATAAACTCAATAAAATATTAGCGCGACCGTAGTCAAGTTTATAAATTAATTTCCGTTACTTTTTTGTTATGTAGGTTACTCTAGATTTTATTATGATAGCAACGGAGCTGCAAAGTCGACGTAAAATGAGGACTTTGCCTTTGACTGGGAAGTTTAATTAATTTGAAGACAAAATCAATTCCGATATTACGTTAAGTGCACAACGTTCAGTACGTTCATGAATTATTATTGATAGATTGAAAAGCGCAATTTCATGCTGTCACGAACAATAATGGCTTCCAAAAATAATAATTTCTGCATCGTTAAAATAACAATGTAATTTCCAGAATATTGTCACAATGTTCATTATAAATGTTTTGTTTTACTAGTAACTGCCGTTGCCTTGAAGTCAAAAGAATTTGCGGCAGCTTCTAAATACTAGTTTATTCTAAAATTACTTGATAGCTACGGCTGTAGTGAAGGTTGCCTCGCTATATAAAAACGCAAGTTTTATACGGTGTACCTAAGTTTCATACAATATTATCGTTCTTTAAACAGAACTCGAATAAGTGTAAGACCTTTTTTTATTCGCCACGTTTGCCTTCAAAACTAACAAAAAAAAAATTGAATTTTATGTTAGCCAAGTTTTAGATGCTACGATTACGAATTAAAATTCTTCGAAAATAATTTGCAATGACCTACCAGTGGCTCTCAAGGGTATAAACCTTTGGGATTTTCAGGAAAATCAAGCGAGAAATACGCGTCTCCTCCCTCCAAGCGATCTCCTTGCATCCTTCAAGTCTCAGTCAAGCGCATCGATTTTCCTTCTAAGAATAAAATTTCCATTAAAGACGAAGACAGTTAATTTGAACGTTACCGTTAAACCTTTCAACTTTGAAAGATGATGATAATGCGGGCGAAATGATACGTTATTTCAAACGTACATTTTAAATTTTGTTTCATTGTCATTTTAAAGTATGCAATCCGATGCCAATCGATACCTCATTTAAACTGAGTTGTTAAAAGAACTTTAAATTATTTATTAATTTTATTTTTATTTTTCCTTGGTAAATGCCACATCATAATTATAAAGCAAAATATTAAAGTAAGGTCTGAAGAGCTCGAGCGCTGGAAGCGTTGTTACAAGTTTCACAAGTGTATTGTGCTCGTAGTTGGCATTCATTTTGTCGCGGCCGCCACCTTGAGGCGTCGGACTTTGATAAATGGCCGGGACAGCAATCGTTACTCATTTCCTGTCCCTTCCCGCGACCTGTGTCCCCGTCCGCCTCGTCCCCTAATGTGCACATTTTTGCTCCTACCTCAAACCGGGAACACCTGCGATGAAAACCCTTTGAATGAACGAATGTATGGACCCCCACGCTGTGATTTGTTAACCCTTATCATCGAGATTCGCACACTTCCTCCGTGTTTCATATTTTTGTTGTCATATTTTTCCATTATTTTATTTTTTGGATGTCTTCGTCGTTTCATCCACGTTGTTTAAATTAAATTTTAAAACTGATGCAAATAAAATGTCCTTACCTTTCGCTGTTAATGCATGTTTATGTTGTGTCGTAATGTGTTAATTTAAACAAATTAAAAGTATTTATTTGTTGTAATTACCAAATGTTAATAACGTCTTCGAAGGTTTCGTCGACGATCTTACATGATGAGTATATTATTTTAAACTGTAATTACGCTCATTTGATATAACTGTTTTCTTTCAGCCAGAATTAACTTAAATATCCAAACGCGTTGAGTTCACCTTATTAAATTTGCCAAAAGTAATTAAATTAATTTCGGATTATGAAAATTATGTAGATTATTTTTATGTTTAGGCCGGCAAGTCCGTCGTACTATAGAAAAGCTGTTTAAATAAAGTAGCACGATAACGGGTAACAACATAAGGTATAACAACGACGTATTACGTTTAACATTAGCAGAAGCGTGACCCAAGTAGCTCTTGTATGAGTACTTATTATTCAGAGACTGATAGCGACACAAAGTTTCCCGCACATGGTCCACACACAACATACTCGTACTGACGCACTTGAGGGTATTTGGTGAGACACAACTGACCGGTAGGGCCGCGAGACGGCTTGTAAACGTGCGTTAACATTACAGTGCCGACGGCAACTTCGAGGTAACGTTGGCGACCAAGGCGACCATCTATCATCAGGGGCTGGTGGAATGGAAACCACCCGCCATTTACAAGTCTTCCTGCGAAATAGACGTGGAATATTTTCCTTTCGACGAGCAAACATGCGTTCTTAAGTTCGGTAGCTGGACGTACGACGGATTCAAGGTAATTGCGTGGAGCTCCGTCACCGCTCTCGCTGACCGCTCTGTTTGTCCGCAGCGCCGACGGCAACTACGAGGTGACGCTGATGACCAAGGCCACCGTCTACTACAACGGCATGGTGGTGTGGCAGCCGCCCGCCGTCTATAAGTCCTCGTGCTCGATCGACGTCGAGTTCTTTCCTTACGACGTGCAAACCTGTGTGCTTAAGTTAGGCAGCTGGACGTATGACGGCTTCAAGGTGACGCCCCGCTGTACGCTGCTTGGCGCCGCGCGCGCGGGCCGTAGCCGTAGGGCCCGCCGCCCCGGCCGATGTCCATGCAATAGCTTGTTGGCTCGAACGTAATTCGTCGTGTAATTATATTACTTTTCTGTCCATGTGGTATGTTCACTTTTACATATTGACTGTAACGACGACGCTAGAGTAGTGGCGAAGAGCGTGCGCTCGATGCCGACGCGCGCTCCCCGCCCCCGGCTCGCTCCGTAGCTCTGACATGTTGCAAGTTTACATTTCTATTGCGATGGTGATGTCTTAAGTATATGGAGTAGCGGTATGTCGACGTGCGTGATCACGAATGCTCCAGAATATCCTCGGCCGGTCCACTTAGCTCGTTCGGCCTTCCTCGCTCGACACGGAAAGGTATAAAATTTTAACAGCCAGGTGATATGGGATGCAATAACTTCACTTGATCCGATCCTACCCGACACATCCCGCTCCGAATGAGCCTTTCCGTGCTACACGATAAGCCGCGAGTTCACAGGTAAATATCAGTTAGATGAACGTTGAGCTAACAAAGGCATCGGTACGCGGACCGGCGTCACTCGGAGCTGTCACACCCTTCCATAGCTGGCTCCGCTCGCGCCACACACACACAGACACACGCCCGCCACACAGCTTGCTGCATGGTCCCCGTCAGTGTACACTCCACTCACCGCATGACTCAGCTTGTTCCGAATCACTTGCATTCCCGATCACGGCGCCGGCGGTCGCTCGCCGCCCGACGCGCCCGCGGTCGCGTGGTCGCGTCTCTGTACACAGCTTTACACGATACCTACACGCGAACAGGTTTAGCACAGCACGTGAAACCAAACGAAGATAAAGATCACACTTGTTGCTCTGTACACTATCGAGCATAAATAGTCATCATGTTGCATATTTTATACCTTTCCCTATTAGCGACTCATACTTACTGGCTGTACCTAGTGTGGTGTCGCAGACAGTCCATTGCATGTTGTCACATCAACGAAAGACGATACCACTCCCGACTTTGACACGGAGTTCATAATGCACAAATCTAAATGTTAAAGTAGATCCCGCCGTCTCGTCGAAGCGTCGAGGACCCTCGGCAGTCGAGGAGGCGGCCGTTGCATGCTATTACAACACTCGAACGAAGCACGCGTCTTATGCCAACACGTCGCCACTATAACGAACGCAATCGTTGGTTCAGTAAATACAAGAGACTTGGATAAGTTGGTTGGTATGAGGCGGGTCGCTGGGAGACGCTGCGTCCGCGCGACACACACACGCGCGGCGGAGCCGGCGCTTTCGACCTCCTTATCAGATTTTTTGACGAGTCGTTGAGGATGAAGTGCGCTACTTCCGAGATACGATGTTCCGCCACGAAGTAGTGCGCTCATTCTACGCGATAGCGTGAAGGAACCAGACCAAGGAGGTTGTCCTCATCCTATACTCTTGTCGAAAGCTCCACGATCACTCGTTATATTCGGTGTTTTCTGTGTTTTCGCGTTGTTATTTCTTCGCATGAATCGAATTGTTGTGACATGTCTACATTGAAGATAAATGTGTCGGTTTGTCGTTAAAGGTTTTGATCTCAGTTTGTACTCAGGTACATCCCACTTGGCACACTGTGTGGTTTCTTTTCGAAGGTAATGCGAACATCAGCTTGGATTATGATCTTTATACAGAGAGACTCCGAGATACTGAAGTACACAGTTAACATGTCTGCGTTGCCAACATTTTCTGGGACTTTTATCTAGATCCAACACATTGTGTGACAGGGTGCATGTATCAAATAAGTAATTATAATGACTAAATAGGCTGTGAACTAAAATTAAATAAATAGATATAACAACTAACTAATCACTAACTATCCTTCAATGGAGTAAAAAATAAAGTAATGTTGAGCAACATTGTTACTTAAATAGTAAGAGTGTGTTAGTAATTGGCAAAATTTTAAACCAAACCCAAATTCAGATCTGTAATTCGATAAATTAAAGTTGTCTATTATTTTTTACTCCATTCGAAATACTAATGAGTAGAACTAACCTGCATCATTCTAAACGCATATCATAAGAATAAACCAGTAATAGTAAATGTGTTAAAGTTCCTTATATATGTGTCTTTTAAAGTTATCGATGTGTATTTAACTAGAGAACATTAACTTTAAGCTATGATATTACATAATATAAGTATTTAGGCACCGGAGTTTATCTAGAAAATTAAAGGAGTAAGTATAAAAGGACTTCGACAGAAACGAGGACATCAAAATGTTTCAAAAAGATAAGTAAGCATACATTACATGTCAAACGAAAACAGAAACAAACAAAACAATCAGAGAGTTTATTTATTTATTGGGAATAGAGTACGGTTGCTTTGAATCAAATAAGCTCATGTGGGTTCCCTTATCTTGGCGACAGCGCGACGTTCATAATCGCAATCAAGACACGTATCCCGTGCATTCCCCACATTTGAAATTCTAATCAATTTTGTTCATTCAAGACGTAGCTTAAGATGAATAAATTCATAATTCAACTCCGGTGCCTTGTGTACACGATGTGCAAGGATGCTGGGACATGTAAATAGTTTTTTGAGTTGGTATGTACGCAGGTGGATCTGAGACACATGGACGAGCAGGCCGGCAGTAACGTGGTGTCGGTCGGTGTCGACCTGTCGGAGTTCTACATGTCTGTCGAGTGGGATATACTCGAGGTGCCAGCTGTCAGGTAATCCTACATCTATTTAAACACGCAACCACGGGAAATGTTCCGCGAATTTCCGAAACGGAATGTATGTACTTGTGGTATTAATTTGATTCGATTGCTTTCTGCTATATCGTAAGACGATCAATCGAAAACGGTATTTATTCTGAGCACTTGGATTCAATTCCGAAAAATATGAGCGTTTTATTAATATTCATTTAGTGTAAAACTGTAATATCTCCATAGAATTCATACGTACATTCTGGACGTGAAAATAATATTACCATAGAGAGTTTTTGCATGATTTCGTCTCAATACAAAGATAAAAACAGCTAAACTTAATAAAAGTGAACATGAAATACCAGGACAAGCTTTCTAGTAGCAAAGAGAAGATATTTTCTATGTTATTCGTAGTTGATGTTACCGTGAAATAATAACCAGTACACAGACATGACAGATGAGTTCAGCGATGTTCCTGAGAGAGCATAACGTAGTTGAAATTATTCAAGTAAATGACGGTATTTACTTGAATATTTAAGGAACGGCGGTATAAAGATACTCGTGTTCGTGCCTGGAAAATAAAAGTTTATCGTACGACCGTTTAGTTTCACTTATTGTAGGCGGGCCGGTGACGGCTGAACTAAATGACCGCTATCAGTACTTATGTTATTACGACAGATGGCCATTTATATTCACTTTGGGCCGTGGACATCCCTAAGTCTTAACAGTTAATTGCACAATATTGCAAGATGTAAGAACAGTAACAATCGCGCGTTTTCAATTAATTAAAACGATTCTCCTTGTATACGAGTATTATGTTTCGCACTTGAACAGTAATTAGAAAAAGGCCAAATAAAAGCTCGGAACAGCAGTGAATACGTCCCTTAGGCGGTAAACAAAAGTTAATTGGAGCTCGATGTACTGCGGTCGTTTGTCCTCAGCCCTCCTTGCCGGCTACGGGCCGTTATCCGGCTCTCGAACACACGAGTGTCATTATTAACCCGACGTCACTTACCTCGCCATCGCTTTTACGACGTGTATCCGCTTTGCCGCGTTAAGCAGCGCTTGCTATTAAACTTCGTACACATACCGATTTAGGCCTCTCTAAGATGCGTACCTATATCTAACAGCTGAGTAAGATGTTCTGATAAGGCACGTTGCCGGACGCTTTGAGCACCTCTGTATCCCCCAAATAATCTAATCAGCTTGTATAAAAACGCTGACTTCTATCCTTTAAGACGTTTCACCACGATCTATCTTTACGTTTAAAAATTCTAAGAGGATTGTAAAAAAGAAAGGGGTGTTCAGAATACTTAAAAGACAAGCAATAAAAAGGAACAACCCCTTTTGAATAAATAAGATACAAAAATAACTCAGCTTTATAAATGTGTCATTTGAGTACCTCGTCAAAATAAAACAGTATTTCAGGTTTACATACACGGGTAGCGTATTGTGAAAATGTTGGCGTGACAAAGGCCCTGACTGGGACGCAGTAAAATCTAGTTACCGAGCCTCCGGTAATGTCCTTTATACATATTCTGTAGTTGTAACGTAGCCGGCGGGTGACTCTTACTTGCTTTGAATACGGTTCCTACTTCCACGTTAACAAAGCCATTGCAACGCTAAAATTGTGGAGTACTTTTACAATCTGTGACGTTTTCTAAAGACGAAGACGCAAGAACGCTTCAATTAATGGGAGTCCACAAGCTTTAATATTTTATATAATAGCATGGATCCACGTAATAAGTCCGTCGGGAATTTTCTTGAGAATAAAATTTTTATTCAAAAGAAAAGTAATATGATCAACTATTTAAAAAAGGCAAGAAGTTTTATATCTTACGCTGACTACAAAGAAAAGTGCTCATGTTAGCGTCCGTTAGGTAAGTTTTCATTTTATTCACCAATGACATGAAATTAAAGCAACAGCGTTGGAATTAGGATTCTTTAATATACTTGTGTTGGAAAAAAGTAACTAACTTTTTGTATACGATATTTAACACAACTAATGCAATTATATCAATGTAGCTGAAAGTAAGAAAAATAAAAGTGTACATCGCACAGCTTCCATTTTCCCCATAAAATGTTTGTCCAATAATAAAACGCTCATATTTTACCACTGTGAAATATTATATCATAACTTTTGCATATGGAATGTAACCCTTCGTTTGATTGACGGATAGCTAGACGGTCGGGACAAACTGCGCTTTTCCATATAAAATGATTTCCCTTGAAACGATATAAATGCCATTTTCATATTCCTTCAAAGCTTTTACGAGCTACTCTACGAAATTACCCGAATACACGTAACCTATATGTACGTCTCGTAAAATATTGTTTTACAAAATGTATCTGTTGGACATTTACTTGCAAATATTCTATAGCTTATTAGTATTATGATTTATATGCGCACAACTGTCTAACTATTCAAACGTTTTCACAAGTCTTACAATTCTACGGCTTCGGGCTTAACTACTTGGAAGTTTCTATTGCTCGCTTATAAATGACATTTAAATATTAAAATCGCTTGTAAAACTTCAGATGTAAGAGTAAGGCGAAAGTGTCGTTATTGATATTTGACTTTTGGCAAGTTTTGTTTAAAGAGCGTCTGTTGCAGATTCAATAACTGTATTCTGTCCGGTAATTTGATTTAAGAATTGTGCTCGACTCAAATTGAGTTACCGAATATATTTCCCCGCCTTTGGATAGCGTCGTACAATGTTTATTGTTTTCTTTTACTTTGTACAGGAATGAGAAATTCTACACTTGCTGTGACGAGCCTTACTTGGACATCACATTCAACATCACGATGCGAAGAAAAACGCTGTTCTACACAGTGAACATCATCATCCCTTGTATGGGGATCTCCTTCCTTACCGTCCTCACATTTTACCTGCCTTCAGACAGTGGAGAGAAGGTAATTATTTAATTCTTTATACTCATACTGTGGCAATTTTAATTTGAAAAACTAATCTATGTACGAAATATGAGGGACGCTCAACAATTTATGAGTATTCATTTATTCTTTTTTAAATAATACACCACTAACAACTGTTATTGCTATTGCGATATTGATTTTCTAGTTGGAAATAAGAATTTTATACAAATGTTTAGGTAAGAATGGTGGAACTGTACCGAGGTTTAATATTATATCAATTGCTCGTTTATTTACATAGCGTATAAAGCTTGACCAAGTCCTATTTCGGGTCCTTTGGGTGCCTCTAATGATATATATATAATACATACTTACTTACCAGGAAAAAGTATAGAACATGTAAGTAACAAAAAGTCAACATGACTCTCTGGGACCAGCCTATTAAAGGAATAAAATAAGCTGAACGAGAACTAGAAATAACTCATGTTATTTACATCAGTGTAAAATAGCAAAACAAATATATGTCCCTATGGATTGTGAACATAATTACTCTTAAATTTTAATGGTTACCGAATAAAACATAAAATATTTCTTAATAAAAACATTTGTGTAGATGTAATTCGAACATAAATATTAATATAAGACACAAAAGAGATACTTTAATAAGAAAAAAAGAACCTAAAAGTATAATCTAGAATTCGAAATTGGTCCAGAATTTCGTGGAATCGAACAACTTAAAGTCAGTATTTGCGGATAAACTTTGTCTTTCGCAAAGTTTGAATTATTATTTACCTGGAACTATTACTGCCTCGTTGATCCAGCTGTTGAAGCGCGAACAACTTCACGAAATGATATAAAAGGATGTCCGATTAGAGGTAAATAAGATCGTGTTTTACAAAGTAATTAGTAAATTAGAAGGGCTTTTATCAACTTATTATGTGGAAAATAACTATGTAGTGAAAATATGTGTTTTTGCAAATTGAATGTAATATAAATCGTTGCTAATTTTATCGAGAGAAATACAATATAGAGTGTTTATACACATACGATGAGTATCGAATTTTACAGCACCTATTACTTTATACAAGTTTTTAGAGACGATAAATTTGATGCCATCTTATGAATCTTTACTTTCCATGTATTTAGAAACATTACCAGAGAATCTGATTACCATTAAGAATCTGATTTACATACATATTTATGACGATGTTCCTACCTCGTAATAATTTAAAATCCCGCTAAAAAAGCACGGCAACATAATAATAGCACCTCATGTTTTTTTACATTACTTTCATTCACGTGAATAAAATTTTCTGCGCTGTTATTGGAGTGAAAACATCTAAAAACAAATTAACAAAAATTCCTCGCGTTTTGTCGGCAAACTTTGGCCGGTCCGTAAACTTCTACGGTGAATATTGTTACAACGGTTGAGGTTCAAATTGCTCAAATACGATTACTCAACGTGTTCTTTTACGAGTCTCTTGTGATTACCCACCCCAACGTAATAAAAATGTATTTCATTTGTATATGAGGCTCTCAAATCGCGCTCAGCTATGATTTACACGACCCCTCCCGCGAGTCTTGCCAGCAACGACCCGGCGCGGGGCCATCCTATCGAGGGGATTTAAACTAATCACATTATATTGTTATCTCTAAATGTGTTAAGAAGATTCAGCAATATTGTACAGTCACGTACTAACGTACACATAAAGATCCCATTATTAATCGAGTGAAATATTGCCGAATAAATTAAGAGAGTACGGAAAATCGATATTGCTTGCTCTAACAGTACTGTTGTGTTACATTTGCTAAGTTGTCTGCGATAACAAATGGTACTGCGAGTAAAAAATATATTTTTTTCATGTAATATATATAGTTTAAAAATGTATATTGATAAGCAACTAGTTAAACTGGGGAGCTGTAAAATATATATGTACGTTTATACATATTATTATATATTCCACGTTCATTGTAGTTGTACATTGTTGTAGATAAATGCTACGACGTAGCCGAAATTACTACGGGTGTTTGTCTATGCCTACGCCGTAGCAGATCGTTATGCACAGTTTCTAGGCGTTTATTTTTAATATTAGTTCAATTATGAGGTTAGTTCCATTGTTATTGATTCAGTAAGGCAATAATTTAAATACAGTCAATCCATTTTCTGCCCGTAATTAATCGTTTTGTAATTTAATATTCAATTTATTAAATCTGCTGTAACTTTTAATGGCCAAATATTTACTGTATATTAATACTGATGTTAAATGTATTATATTAAATTGTATTATTTTACAGTAAGTGGTAACGGTAAACTGGAGCAGTATTGATCTCTCTGTTGTTTGGCTTATTCATTGCTTGTTTCATTAATAAATGTTATGATTTTGTGAGGGAACATAATTTGGTCTATATTATTGAACCATGTCATCTTTAAAATGAAAGTAACGGTTTTTGTGTATACAAAATAATAACAAAATTATATTCAATACGTGACTCCTGGTGTTCCCCGAAGGATGTCCTTTGGGCAATAATAGACGTGAGGTGCATAGTATAGTCTTTATACGATAAAGGAAAACCTATTGCCCTGCACTGGATACATTTTCATACAATTCTGTTCACGTGCCCAACCCAAGCTTCGGAAGGAACGGGACGGTTCCACAGGAATGATATCACGGCGTCACAAATAACCGAATTGAAACCACTTCGCGTCGTGATTGGCCGTATGATCGAAATTAACGGAAACCCAACCCCAATCTCCAAATCTCTATAAGGTCCGTAATGTACTTGTAACTCATCTGATGTTGTTTTGATTACCATCAGGTGAGTCATCAGCTCTTTTTCCGCCCTATGACATAAAAAGGAAAATAAAGACATATTTACCAAACATATAACATATTAAAGTCATTAAAAATAATTTCTATATTCTTAAAGGTGAAAAAAAGACTAAAAGGATGAAAAAAATACAAAGATAATATTTAGTTTAAGTCTTATAAAAATCTAATTTGTATTTTACCAAAATGAAGTACATAAGATATGGGTTATAAATTATATGAAACGGAGTGTTGATACGTACTCTTTGCTTACGCATGTAGATCAAAGCGAGACATAATATATTCAAATAATATACATTTACGTACTGTTTTACTTAAATAACATACATATTTTATGATAATTGCATATTACTCTTATGAAATTATTTACATTTTATAATATCCTTTTAATTCTCGTTTTTGGTAATTGGTAACGTGAGATGATGCGTTTGTTGTAGGTACATTGCAGCAGTAGATCGCATCATTGCTCTCACAAACACAAACATACGAACAATATTATTGATGTATGACGAACCAAACGACTCTCCGCGTTTGCGTGGACGAGGCCTCGGAGTAAAAGCCTTAATTATGGGTTTTATAATTAACAGTAATAAATCTTATAGAGATCAAATTCATAAGTCATATGCTTAATAAAATATCGTAAAGTTATAACAAAATATCTTCAACTACGTATGTAGTATGTTGTTTACGATACTTTATATATAAGCTCTCTTATCAACACCACCCTAGCTAAGACTAAGACAAATAAAACCATAGTACCACTTCAATTATTATTTTTCTTGAACCATATAAATTTATATCTCTATATTCCGTAATTGAACATCACAATCGTAAACCGAATTAACTTCAACTCAACCATCATGTTTATTAGTTCAACAAAATGGAATACTAGTACAGTTAATTATGTAAGATAACAAGGTATTTCATTCTGCCAGCAGTAACTGATATTCACTGAGAAATTGTGATAATGTTACCTACAATAAATACGTCAGTAGTCGTGTCTGCTCATGTAAACAGAGGATATGTTACGCAATGTTGCGGAGTAACTTTACATACAAATATTATTATTTTAGTGAGCAAATATAGTATCTGATATAGATTAATATGGGGTTAAGGTTTGTGTTACTGAGTTAGTTGATACTTCGAAGATTCCCTTATCTCTATTCAAAGGGATCATATAATAAGGGTTAATATTAAACAGCCAGTATTAATTAATTTTAGACATGTAGGCTTTGATGACTATTTTTGTTACAAATCTGTCTCTGGTAGCCAATTCTGACTGATATGTAAGCGTCTTAAAAAGTTCAATACAAAAATTATCTGATATTAATCTATTGTTAACAGGTAACGCTGTCGATATCAATATTGATTAGTCTCCACGTGTTTTTCCTGCTGGTCGTCGAGATCATACCTCCTACGTCACTGGTCGTACCACTTTTGGGAAAGTATCTTATATTCGCCATGATCCTCGTTTCAATAAGGTAAGAACTAAGAATAACTTAAGATACTTAGTATATTTATTAAATATTTCAATGTTAGAGAACACTTCTCTTTGCATTAACCACTGATAAATAAGCTTAGTTTCATATGTGCAAAATGGTATACCTTCTCAGCACTTTCTGTAAAAAATCTTTCATTCGTTCCTAAGTTTGCATTAGTGGAATTTTGTATAAAAAGTTTATGTTCAAACGGAGGACGAACAAGTGAATCGTTAGAGACCACAAAATGGCAAAACCGAGTTGAAGGGTGTTCCCGAAAACAGAACCCCGAGGGACGTCCTTACCTGGGAGACCTTAATCTGTAGTTTTTGTAACGACCAGTTGGGGACTCTATTAGAGAAGAAAAGAGGCGAGACGCGACGACCATTAAAAAAATGTTTTCTGCCATCGTATAGGGCAAAAACCTATATATTCGTTCGACATTAGACGAATATACTGCACGTGTACCCTGCTATGAAGACTATGAGAATAGTTACCTCCTTTATAATGTCTATTATTTGACGATGTGCCGGTTTTATGTGCTCCGAAGGCTAAATTAATATTTTACGACGACATTCCTTGTAAACAGCAATGGCGTCGTTATCTCGAAGTGTTTGAACTATCGCTTTTAGGCGCTTAATTACAATTCATAAGCACATTTAATATGCTTGAAATTGTTTGTAGAAGAATTTAATGTTAAGCCGACAGAGGCACTACGAAAGCAATGAACATAAAAAATATATAACTGTTTAAGTTCGACGTGACGGAAATTTAGTTCAGTTTCGGTCATAAACACGCATTTATGACTTTAATCTGAATTATCATCTTTCGAAATTCAACTTAAACGTATCTGATATGTGCACTTTGATAGTTAAGTCGCAAGGTTACGACCCAAAGCGAACGTTTCAAACGTTGTGGAGCTTTAAAGATGGAACGAAGTAGAAGAGTTTACCAAGCTACGAAGTTCGGAATAATAATAAATAAGATTTACAAATGAAGTAACAAAAATCAAAGCGTTTACTTCTACGAAAATCAAATCAAACCGCTTTAATAATAATAGGTTTTAGACAAAAGTAATTTATTTAAATATCGCTCGGTTGGGGCGTGCTTGCTACCACATTTCCATATAAATTAAAAGCTGCTTTCTAAACAAGATATTTGATTGCGTTCTCTAGCTTCAAGAAAATTAAATTTTTAACAGCACAACCTCCGACTTTGAGTTAGGATAATTGGGAACCTTTGCACTGGTGCCGCTACAAACTTGTTGAAAGTCTAGGCTAGCTTGGATCCATGTTTGCAAATGTAAAACCCAACTTAACTAGTTATGTAACTACGGATTATGAAATGAGATTGTATGCGACGCCGCGGAGCAATTAAAAGTTTTCTGTGATCTATATTAATTGATACCCCAAATGTCACTGGATGTCGTTAATTTACTGGATTTAATAATAATCATTATAATCTGTGCTTTGCAATAATCTGTGCTTATTGCAACGGACATGAAGCGGGATTTTGAACAAGATACCACTATTGTAGCACGCATGTTCCGAGCGAGCATCTCCCAATAGTATCATACGTGGTTTACACACTATTAGCAAGTTAACTATTCATAAATAAGCCAGCAACACGGCCGCGCAACGAACTACCTGATTCAGTGGGGAACTAACAAATTACCCGCTATTATTTGTAGCACTATTGTCTAAACCTATGAATAAAACTATCACCATTAATGTTTTACTTGTATTTGTGCAAGGATTGCTATTGATCCTTTAAACACCCAAAACAAGCTACTCCTTTAGTTTGTGTAGGCAGTGGTACCATTGTTGTGGGACTTCTATCTACGTAAAATGTATTGATATTCAAACGAGTCTGAAACATAAATCAAGGATATTACAATGAATAATTATATTCTGCGATAAAAGAAAGTTATAGCGCCAATCCACACAGTTACGGTCAAATTGTTATCGCTTTTACTAGCCAATAGAAGCTATTAATTGTAACCGTGTCCTTGGGTAATAAAACCTTTTATTGCTTTTAGTATATGTGTGACGGTAGTGGTCCTAAACGTCCACTTCCGCTCGCCGCAGACACACCGGATGGCGCCTTGGGTGAAACGAGTTTTCATACACATTCTACCACGACTGCTGTTTATGAAACGACCGCAGTACAAGTTTGACACAACAAGGTGAGTGGGAACTTTTGCTATATCTTTATCTTTACATCGCAATCTTTTCAATTAAAATCAAATTAAATCGGACTTGAGTCGTTCTAATCAGCATCTCCGGCGAGCATTCCTGAGTCCGGTTCCTCGAAAGAGAAAACTCTTAAATCCGACCGCGGATCAGTAACAACTCTAAATTAATTATAAGTTTTAAATACTCGCTGGCCGCGGCGGCAGGAGTCAGGGCGTTTATTTCTCGCTTTCACTCAACTTTACTACCTACCAAGGTTAAAGATAAAAAAGTGACGGAACAAATTGAGAAGATTGCGCATCGCAGTTTTTAAAAGCGTGATAGAGGCGACAAATTTGCTTGCCGCGCGCCTTTTTTTATGACTTCACATCGCGGCGAGGTTTTTTGCGATATTCCGAGGTAATGTTTTAATTTTACGGAGAGACATGACGCGTTTTTATGAAAATTGTTTGCATCGACGTGCAAAATCCGCGCAAACAGCTAGAACTTTTAAATCTATGGAGGTATGTAAATAGGTTTAACATTAATCGTTGCAACTGAACTATTGATCGACAACACACTGCTATTATTAACCACAACAGTTTACCACTCGTAGCCAGTCGCTGGTTACACTAGAATGCCTGAATAGCTGTTATTTGGTATCTATGTCTGTCAGTTAACTGGTTCGCGAATAATTCGTGCGGATAGCTAGTCGGTATCGTAATTCACTTACGAATGGATGTCTGTTAACTAGAGTACAGATATAATGGGCGCCTCGGTGTGGTTACCGACTTACGCAACATTACGTAAATGGATCTCCAACTCTCCCACAGATCGCATGCTAAAGATCTTTTGGAAATGTTAGAAGCCTCCTTAATCTATCAACGATTGTAGCTCCAACGTTTTGAGGGAATTGTTTGTATTGTAGCTATTTCATCCCAGTTGGTATCTTTTGTAAAGCAATAGTAACGTATACGTGAGTGACGTGAGATATGTTTGGAGATAATGAAGTGTAGAGTTAGATCTAATATAGTCAATGTAAATTGGTGATCAAAATTTAGCTAAATAAATACGTTTGTATTTTCATATTTCCCGATGCAAAGCATTAATACGTGTTTACATTGGAACTGGGTCACATACAGATTGTTTAGGACGTATTGACCGGCCCCGGCTAACCAAAGTTCATCACTTTCAAAATAAACAAATACGTGTTCGATTCATACGTATTGTTTATTTTTATTCGCACATGACAATAAAGGGGAACAAAGGCTGATTTTACACGAGTGCACTTGAGAACTTTTTTCATTTTTATTGTTTACAAATTCACAGTAAGCATCATAGTACAATCGCTGTAGCCTCATGCGTAGTCACGGGCTACGATTGCTACGGCTACGCCGTAGCACAAATACAATGTAACAAAAAATACTTATTCTTTATGCATAATAAGAAATTATTATAACAGAAGACAATTCTTGATTCAAATGATTATAAACAAATGTGTAAGTGTCAAGAAGTAGTGACTGATATCGTTATCGTTATCATCAAAAAGAAATATTAGACGGTTTTTTAAAATAATATTTTTAATCTTAAAAATATTTGACTATTAATACTTAGTATCATCTGACTCTGAGGATAAAAAAAACTAAGAGTTATTTGTGTAAATAAAATGTTTTTATACATTAGTGATACTTTAACATAATTTTAAACAAGAAGCTTATTTCTTGAGTTTTATGTGAAATGGTTTTAACGTAAATGGATACAAATAAATATTTATAAAAACGTAAGAAATTCTGTAAAATACAATTTTATTTTGCATACAAACTGCTTTGCATGTGGAATTAATGAAGAAAACTTTCATGATTATTTTTCACCAGGCCAGCAAGTAGGTACATAATAAAACTCTATCGTTTTACAACAACTACCGTGTTGATATCCATTGGTAGCCCGTAATCCGATTATAGCACAGCATATTAATGAGGTTACAAGTACAGAGAGGATTTTGTGCTGCAGCGTTCAGCCGTGAAACCTTTTCAGATAACTAGACTATGAAATTGCTGATAATTGGGAGTAGTGTGCCGTAATACATAATCAAAATTCTAATGTAACATGGCACGTAGTGCACTTCGTAGTTAATAAAAAAACTGTACAAATACATAAGGTTAAATTACATACTGTACAAGGGTCAAGTTTTTAGCTCAGTTGTTAGGTACAGACCTTTCAGTACAATACCTTCTATTTTTGGAAAAACTAGCACAATATGGCAATATATTTTATAAGCTTTCCGCCTACCGTTCGCACACCTGGAATTTCGATGCTTCCCTCAAGTCCTGTAGAAATAGAGGAATAAAAGTAGTCAAAAGGTACTCGCTGTAAAGTCAGCTTTCTATTCGAGTATTTAAACTAGAACTAAAAAATCCTTTCTCTTTATACTAGTTTCCGGACAACACAATTTTTTATTACATACCTAAATACTTTTATATTTATGAACAGCATTTATTTTCTGAGGGTAATTCCTTCGGGGACTGGTAGTCAATCAAATGATAGTATCGGGTACCACAGATCACGCTACACGGCGTGTGGTGTGGTGGTGCGGTGTGGAGGGGCGGCTCGGCCTCTCTACCCGTACCGATTAGCAGCGGCCGATGACGACTGCTGCGCGCCCGGAGCATGGCCGCCGCCTGCTGCACCGCCGCCTAGACCTCTCACGAGAACACCAAGCAAAGAAGATCTCACGCACACCACATACCTTAATTCAGGGTAAGTTTATTGTTTTTAGGGATGTGAGAGACGTTACTAGTGTAAAATTCAATTTGTCCGATTTTGGTACTTATGATCGGGACTTGACATTTTTCTACCCGACTACCTTTTTATCAGCATACTAGTGAATTTATGTGTGATTACATTTTATATTTTTGAATAAAAATGATAAACACCTCCTTTTACTCGCCTAATAGACAGGCAAAGGCACATGGGAAATGGCATGGCTACATTTATTTTTGTTAAAATCCCGAAAAATGGTCGTGTAATATCATACTAAAAGAAGTCATCTTTTAGTTTACAATTAAAAAGTAGCAGGCTAAATCACTACTATATTCCAGGATGGGTGATAGCAACAGGTTTGGTGGCAGTTGTCTGGTACACGGCTCGAGTGACGGCGGTGCGGGGCCGGGTGCCGGGTTAGCAGGAGGCTTGGCCGGTGGGCTGGCCAACGCTGAAGACGAGACCCTAAGTCCCGTCCCCGACCCGCCACCCGGCTTCAGTCACTCCGCGTGCCCCCCAGAAGTACACAAAACATGCTTCTGTGTTCGATTTATTGCAGAGCATACTAGAATGCTCGAGGACTCTACTAAGGTACGTCTTAACTATCACCACTTTGTCTGTTGTCAATGACAATGTAAATAAAAACCTTGATATTTTGTATATAACAATGTATTATCAAGTCTATAAAAGAACACTAAAGAAGGCATGAGCCATAAAATAAACTGGCACAATTGATAAAAGTAATAGCCGTTTGTGTCATACATATTATTCATATTGTTTACTTAACAGGCACTCAATACAAATGCCTTCGCCACAACTATGCATCGCTTACAAAACGACTATGCATCGACGACGTTACGGTGCTATTATATTTAATTTTATTACCGACACGGTTATCGGTTATTCAGTCAAATGTTACTTGCACAGTATAGATACTATCTGCAACAGCAGACACATGAACATAAAGAAAGCTATAACCAAGTAATAATCACTTTAGTTAGAAACAACTTGTAATATTTGTTTGTGGAAAACTTACAGCTATACTTAAAGATATGTGACTTTAAAACAGGTTAAAGAAGATTGGAAATACGTAGCGATGGTGCTGGACCGATTATTCTTGTGGATCTTCACGCTGGCGGTGCTAGTGGGCACGGCTGGTATCATCCTGCAAGCGCCCACGTTGTATGACGATCGAGTGCCAATAGACAAGCACTTCAACCAATACGCGACCTCGTCGCTCGTGCGGTGTCCACCACCCTCGTAACTTGATAATATTGACTACATTTATGTTTACACAAGTATGACGTCAGATGAACAACTTTTATTTGCAGAAAAATACTTTTGCTATAATATTTATGACTGAAAATGTTTCTATCTGCAATGTTAACTATTTAAAATTGGAATCTGAGACTGGGATTTGACCCTCATTTATCTTGAATAAAACTTTGGCGCCATATTTGTGTAGCCGTGTCTATTTGTATGGTTATTCAATAATTATACAAACAACGGTGTCTTTATAGGTGCGGTGATTTGTTTGAGAAAATCTGTTTGTTTGGAAATTAAAAAAGAAACTTAAACCTTGTACTGGCCTTATGACCTGAGGGCTACTTATTTGGACGTGTTTAACGATTTTCATGAACAAGTTGCAGTAACACCGTATGACATTTTTATTATTGCGTCGCCGTTGTATTTCAAGACCCAACGCACACCCGTCCCACCCGGAACGTGTTCTATTCCACGACACGTAAATATATCTATCTAATAAAATATGTGTAATAATAATTATAAGATCTTTCATATCTCTTCATATTATCTATTCTTGCACTCATTGTTAGTATAAACGAATTGATTCATTCATTCTGATCTCCAACGCAAGAGTTTGAGCATTGTTTTGCTCATTCAACGTCTTATGTGACAATAAACTGTAGCAATTGTTTCCTGTAGTTATCTTATTGCAGCGCAGTATCAAAACCCAAAGCAACGTCACCAAATCACGTAGAGATACACTAGTCTCTATGAATAGACATAAGCTAATGAACGAAACACCACCATGTTATATGTATCTGTGTTCAAAAACGTCATTTAGTAAATTAGCATACTTAATATTGTAGCTAGCACCTTTAACTAAGCTCATCCAAAGCGATAGACCAACAAGTCTGCTTATTACACCTCGCTTACCTACTCATATAGGATTGTAATAACTGATTTTCATACAAATTGTCAACATTAGTGCTAATGTAGACATCGAAATCAAATGTAATTTTAAGTAATTCATAGGCACTAGACATAGATTAAGTCTGTCTTAAACATCATGCTGAAACTATCAACTAGAGATTCTTCCGACTCTTCTATTTCTAAGAACATTACTATAATTTGTCGTAGAATAGAACATGTACTTTAAAATAAGAATATCGATTTTATTATTTATAAGAAAAAAAAATAGTATTTGAAACCTATGAAATACAGTAACGTATTTATAAAACAATTTATTGTTGGCTTTGAAAGAACGAAATTCAGTTAATAGGCTCGATGAATATCGTAAAGATTTACAAGACCAGAGTAATGGAAAATATCCTTATGATAATAAGTACAACATAATGATTTACTTTAAGAAGATAATTGCTCAATTTTAAAGTCCGTACCTTCTTTAGTTTTGCTACTGTTTATTGATACGCCGAGTGACTATGAACTGACACATACCTAATTATCACCTAAGTAGCTACTGATTATTTTATTTAACACTCCTACAATTGCTTTATCAAAATGGTGTAACTTAATTAACCTTATGTTTGTATTTTATTTATATTTTTTTGAAAAGATTTTGTTATGTATAATGTAGAATCACTGTAAATAAAATAAATGTAATTATATTTGAGGCACGCGTTTGAGCAATGGCCGTGCCAAAATTTTGGACAGGAATTGAAATTATTTATTAATTGAAAATGAACAATACACAATAAATAAATTACCAAAATTTAAAAAAGAGTGTACAAAAATAAATAACGAATATAAACATTAAGAATAAAAGCTTATTGTACTGAGGTGAAACAAAAAATCATGACAGACGTGATTTTGATAGTGGTCATAATCATGTCATATTATACTTAAATATCGTAAATTGTAAATTCACTATATGTATAATAAAATGCGAGGCTATAGTCGAATATTAAAATGCTACATAGTCATAGACTATTTTATATTATACCACAAAACTATCAAGATATTTAACATCAATTTAATTGTTCCACGTGAATGAGTTCTAAGTCTTATCATAATATTTCATTGGCGTTTAAATATTCGGCTATATGTACAATATTATTGTCAATAAACGAATAGAAAGTACTGGTGCATAGTATAGTACCCCATAAAAATAATCTAATCTAATAAATAAGATATATACCTAATACACATTGACTGCTCGCAGTAGAGTAGCGCAGCTCAATTGTAGAAATATAAGTTTGTAAGTACTTATTTATATTGTTAATAAAATCGTTATATATAGTCTTTTCTTTTCTTTACGTCGGCAACATGTTACTGAACACATGTTGATTGTGATTGAGGCCCATTCGAACGATCTTAAAGTACACTTAGTTATGTTATTGCGCGCTATGACGCGTACAACAGCTGCCGATGAGGTCATACAGGCAAAGACTAGATCGGGCTCTTAGACATACTTAAAACGAATGCACCGTTTTTCGAGCCTATTACACAACAGGAATTGAGTTAAGCTTCACATGCAATCACGCATACATATAAAAAATAAGCAATAATAACAATTTCATTTACCTGAATTTATTGGAATCGGACGACTAAATAAGCTAACTGCACCTTTTCTTTTATTTTTGAGAATATTATTAATTATGCGCTCTGAGCGTTTTCTCCCCCTCATGAGTTGACGGGCCTCCTTTATAGCACGTACACGAACCTCTTTATTTGTTTGAGAGGGAAAGAAAGAGTCGTAATCAAACGATATGTTTTTGCTATCTATGAGTCCAGCTCTAAGTGTTGGAATCTGTGTAGTTAAAGTTTTGCCTAACGTCTCCGTCGTTACATCTATCGCAGGCATCGGAGTTTCTGAGGGTGTGTTTTCGCTAGTCGTGATTCTTGTTGTATTTTCACTTGTTAATCTGTTTAAAACTTCTTCATAATCTTTACAGCACGGCGTTATTTCTTCTTCATGTGAATTTGATGCGTTTGTTATATTACTGCCGTCTTGGGCTGCTGCAGTTGAGTCGGTAACATCTGTTGTGGTTGGTATTGATTCTTTATCATCTGTTATCGCACTGGTTACTTCAGATACAGCAATTTCACTAGTAGGTGAACTATCTATTACGGTCATATCAGGAGTCACTGTGTCGTACAGTTCTGTAGTAACAGTAGCACTGTCTTCTTTACCATATGTAGCTAATTCTTCAAGTGTAATATTTTCGGTAGCAGATGAACTGTCTGTGATTGATTGGGTAGAATTTACAGAGTAGTTTGGTTCTGTAGTAGAAAAATCGTCATTATTAGCTGTAGTCAGTTCTACATGAGGAGTACTTTCACTGGTATATGCACTCTCCACCATTGAAGTCACTGATTCATTCGGTTCTGTATTCTGTAGATATTCGGGACTATTGTCACTAACAGCTCTAGTAAATTCTTCAGCTAGAATATTTCCACTAACAAGTAAACTATCCGTGGTTGAAAAGTCTTCTGGCAAAGTAGCATTTGGTTCTGTAGTTAATGTGGAATTGTCTGCATAACCTACTGTAGTTAATTTTTCAAGTCGAATATTTTCATTACCAGGTGAACTATCTCTGACTTGTATGTTATTAGTTAAGTAGTTCAGTTCGGTAGTAATTGTAGTATCATCAATACCAGGTGAACTTATTTCTTCAGGTGTAGTAGTATTACTATCGTGTGGACTATTTGTGAATGTCATGTTAGAAGCCATTGGATTGTACATTTTTGTAGTAAATAAAGGATTGTCTTCATTATCAGGTGAACTATTTGTGATGTGCAAGTTTGGATGCACTTCATTTGGTTTAGTAGTAACTGAAGTATTATCGTTATTTTCTGTTGTGTTTAAAAGTTGATGTGAATTGATTTCACTAATTGGCGTGCTATATAATGACTGATCAGGAATTATTGTGGGTTTTGTAGTAGATGCAGTAATCTCTTCAGTACGTGTTGTAGTTATTTCCTCAGGTTGGATCGATTTGTTTGCAAAAATAAAGTCTTCATACAGAAATACGGGTACAGAAGTTAAATGTGTGTCGATTTTTTCTGAAGTTGCTGTCACGTTTGAAGGTACGGCTAAGGTTAGTACTTTTTCAGTGGACATTGCATCCATAGTAGTACTTGAACTGGTGGTTTCTGTATTGTTAATATTACCGCTATAGATAATCCCTTGAGTGCTTGAAGTTAATTCAACGTTAGTTCTTTGCATTTCTCTTACAATAACGGTGTCATTGTTAGCCATATAACCTGTAGGTTTATCTTTCGCTGACGATATGCTAACATTTACGTTATCCGCTCTAACAGCATCCTTAAATATATTCTCGTGTATGATTGTTGTGTTTTCAATGGTTGAATTGGTTATAGTTAGAGGCTTAGTTTCAGGATTTATTGGTTTCGTTAGCTCGTCTAGCTGAATAGTCTCATTAGAGCGTTGACTGCCGTTGAGCGATATTATAGATTTGTTAATACTGGCGCTTTCATCGATAACAATGGCTTTTGTCATATTCTCACTGGATGTTTCTTGTGAGTTTAAAAAGCTGGCAGTAGGATCTTTAGGCACGGCAATGTTGAATATAACAGGTTCGGTATGGTTACATTCCGGTTCTATTTTTGGGCGAACAAAGATTTTTTCATGTTCTTCTACTTCTTTCATTAATTCACCTAAATTTCTCGACTCTTCTTCTTTCCATTCTTTAATTTCTTGTTTTAAAAGAATAATGCTGTTGTCTTTAGATTTGTTTTGTAAATCTCTCACAATCTCATCTAGTTTAACGTTCTCAGTTGCCTCAGTTGATTCAATTGCATCTATTTTTTCTAAAACCTCCGACATTACGTGATGAATCTCCTGAGCTTCTGAAGTGTTTCTTGTATTTTGTTCTTCCTTTTCTAATACTTTGATTTCATGTAGAATTGTCTCAACAGACGATTCCGTATCATCATGTTTAACTTTTTTGAAATCTTTATCGACTTCTTCAGAAAGCTTCTTTATTTCTTTTTTTAATAAATCGTTAACATCAGCTAATTGTTCTGACTCCTTGACAAGTAATTTTTCAAGCTCTTTAATTTTTTCATCGGGTTTGTAGTCAACGAAAACTTTAGAAACTGTCTTGTTAATTTTCTCGTCTATTTCCTTTTCAAGATTTTCTTCATTAACGGGTTGATCACCTTCCACGTTTGTAGAATTTACATCTGTTGAAGTAGAGTTCATACCATTTCCACATTTCTCAAAATAACGTCTAGTTGCATCTTCGTTTAAAGAAAGCATTTGTTGTACTGCCAAAATCGTGCAATCGACAGTTTCTTTGACATCGGTTACTACATCAGTTAATAGTTTTCCAAAACCAGTTTGAACCGACTGTACCGCGCCGTGAAATAAATCGAAAAATGATGTTGATGAGACCTGGAATTAATCACACGTTTTAATATTTTTACTTACTTACTTGTACATTAATTACAAGAGACGATTTGCCACTTAACACACACCTGCACGATCAGCACAGTTGTAATGAGCACTGATATTTTCATGATGCACTGGTTTTATCACTTGGAGTACCTAACGTATCACCACCGACCTTTTTCAGACACGCAGATAGACTCGTCGACTCGGAATGTTCGACCGTTTAATTCTTTACACAATTAGTTTTACGTCTATTTGTTTAATCAAGACACGCGCTATTGTGATGTTCATACACCTGGGCTAATATTTAGCGTCACAACATTATAACCAATTTAATTGTTTAAAATAAGCCAGAGTAGCAGTGTGGAGTACAAAATAAAATTTCAAACCATTAAATGAAAGTTCGTTTATTTTTGAGTAGCTTAATACAATATATCACAAAAGTAATTCTTAACTCCATAAATAACACTTATAAAGTGTTCAGCATATTTTAATCGACTATTATTTCGACCATTTTATATATTAGAAATATTTTAGCTTATCTAGAGAATGCAAAAGCTACGTAAATATTTATTGTCAGATAGTTATCATGAGTTCCGACGATTTTATATAGTTTATTTTGATTGCACACTTACTTGTGTATTTAATTTTGAAGTTTTAAAGCTTACATATATTGAGTTTCTACTGTGAAGGTAGCTTATATACTTAATCTTAAATTTTATAAACAATTAAATACGTGACAGGAGAAATATAAATAGTAATAATAATAAATTTTTGAAAATTTTTAAAACGCAAATTTAAAATGCATATTTTTAAAAGCATAATTGGATATGAACTAACACATTTTACGACATGAGAGCAGGTACGTACACGCACATAAGAATAGGTTACGTTTAGCAAGTAGACGGTCTTACTTCGAACAATGTCAATACAATTATTTCATATTACAATTTAAACAATGAATTATTTATTACCAGCTGCGCTTCATTTACAATCGCCAATTCATAAAATATAAGAATTTGGCACCTTCTTGAGCAATATTTTCAGATTCTGTTCATCATAAGATTGGTAAAAAAGGCAACACTTTGTATCCTTTTCCACAATGTGAAATGAGCTTTGATTTTAAAAATAATATAAAATGTAACAAAAAATATGGACCACTTAAGAAAAAAAACATATTTTCTGTCATTTCAGAATAAAAGTATGATAAATAAGTAAAATTTACATAGTAAATAAATTAGCATTTAAAATTAGTAAAAATACTGTAATATCAAAACAAAATATAAACTTTCTTCAATAAATATCAAAAGGTAAAGCGTATACTTGTTAACGAGTGGAATGTGTTTGAGTATTTTCCACGTACGTTAAACAATGAACAAGAAACCCGATATCTGAACAACTAGAACCAAATATTATTGTTCCTAAATATGGTAGGTATAAGGAGCACTATAGTCGTAAATTTAACCGCGTTACCAAATCGACAACCTCTTTACATTTGTATAGATTTTATTGATCGTGCGAACTGGGCGTACGACCAAAAGGTCCAAATGCAAAAGACTATCCCTTTATACTACGTAGTACTCCAAAATATATCTCACTATCAATTGTAAATTTTCGCCTTTGCAAATATAACAAGTGCATTGTTTGATGTGCTATTTATAAGGAGCATACACTACGTATGCCACCTTCAAAACATTCTTATTTTTAATAAATAGTTGCACGATCGTGAAGTTTACATGTATGCATGTTACAGTTTTTGTTAGTTCAGCTGAAACTAGCAATCAAATACGATAAATAATTTTCATTAATTAATTTATATACTTTTTCCAATATCGACGTTCAAACTTTATAAAACGTAAAATGTAAAACTTTAGTATAATTTAAAATAGCGACCAAAATAGGCCTAACGCTGATTTTATATATGATATGTAAAGAATTAACTCTACTGAGTGTAATATACTTACGTATTCTATTAATTAATTTTGAACACGTCTAATACAACCATAATTATAATACAAAACTAACGACCCTCGAATTCCATTACGATTATATGGCATTTAATATAAAACATCCCGAGTACCTCGCACACAGCACGTCCCACAGTCGCCTGGTCATTACGATACAATTACTAATTGTTCTTAATCATAAATCCATTAAAACTAAATACTGTTTTACATAAATTGCTATACAAATGTGTTATTTCTATACTCATAATTAGATACTACATGATATAATAGTTTTCATTCCGCCATTATGCGAATAGATGCTGCATGCAGCGAGATAAAAAATGTATTAATATTTCATAAGTCAAAGAGGTTGTATATATTTAAACTAGCATAGGAATATTATTTGAATAAACATGATTCCTCGATTATTTAATTTTTTAAGTTACAATTTGCGGCAATGAAAACTATTGAATCTTTGAGAACTGAACACGCGTGGATTGGATGTATAAGGAAAATAAGTAGCCAGGTTATACTTATTACTATAGTTTAACAAAGCATTCTGGGACATTAGTGAATATTTTGTTATTGCTGAACAGTTTTGAAGATTTGATATCTGTAGAATATTACAATTACTTACAATCTAAGGTTTATATTATATAAGAAGTAAACGAGATCACTCCCAAACTTCACTTACATGTAATGTTCACATCTACACAACTACAGAACATCGTAAAAGATCATTATCAAAATATGTTCAGTGACATAAAACATTTCATAAAATAAATTTAAATTTTGTCATAAGGTTAACACGTTGATTGGGTTACTCCAACAATATTATTGCTACAAACATTAAGATTTAGTTATCTATGAACTTCACCCACTTTGTGTGTCAAGGTTGCGTCGTGTCATTTTCTTCGTCACTTGGGGTTAGGGGTGCCGAAGGGAGTTCCTCCCTTTTAGGGGGTTCGGGGACCTCGAGAGGTTCCTCCTCCCTTTTCGGTGGTAGGGGTGCAATGTTGAGTTTGGGTAGCGGAGGTATCGGTGGGGTGGGCGAGATGTCTCGCGGTGGAGGTAGTGGCTGGGCGGCGCCCGCAGTGAAGCCGTTGTTCATCCGTTGGTAGTGCGGCTTCCATTTATTTGCAGGTGGCGTGTAGTTCAGACGATCATATTCCATTTCTGTAACATAAACATATATTTCAAATTAAATCTGCATAAAATATTAAAGCTTACCACTATTTAAGTGCCCTTAATACTAACTGTATTAATTAAAGTTAGACTTAACCTATCGCCCAGAGCAAAGATTTAAAAACGATGTATTGACTCACCATATCCTTCCTTATGTTTGATTTCGTCGTAAACATGGTCCAATTTATTGTCATCTTCTTCGTACTGGTACAAATTGGGGTTATTGGCGTCAGCATCCTTGTTCTTCATAGAGGACAGCGGGTCGTAAGCTTTAAAGAAACATAAACGTTAAATATGTACACATTAGGTGTACATTGTGTTAATAAGCGAAACAACCAAGTCTGTTGTTTAACTAGTTCAGTAGACACAGATGTTATTTAATATTCATATTTAGAATACAGGACCCTGCCCTCAAGATTGAACTGATTATTACCGTTGTTGTGGCAAGCAAGAACGATGAATGATGCTAATGAAACACAAGAGAAAATTTTAAAAGTGTAACAACTACATTGACAACAAATATAACGGCAGTTTGACAGCTGTGTTCCTATTGAAAATAACAAACGAACGATTCTATGAATTACGCTTACAGAAATGAATAAAAATAATAGATGAATTTCGGTTGCAGAAATATATTAATTCTCGTTTTGTGAGGTCAATCGAATGATTTCTTTCGCCTAGGGTATGGGCCAGAGGGAATCTCAGACTTACTGACTAAAAACCCCATTCCTTCTCCTGCTTTAAGCCGGGGCCGTGGTATACATTTTCTAAAGAAATTGAATTTGGTGTTAAATTATTAATTCTCTTACATTGCAAAAAGAAGTTTGTAAATAACTTACTATCATTAGAACCAGAAGCCTTCATTCTGAGTTTCTCCATGGTGGTGTTGTTTAGTTTACTTCCCGGGTTCAAATTGTTAAGGAAATGTGTAGCGTTGTTGAGCAGAGTAGTGGAGTCATCGCTTCGAGTGGACCCTTGGTACGAGTACACTGGATTATCGAAGTGTTGTTGTTCTATTGAAAAATAATATTTTATATTAGACATTGAGAATAACACAAAATAAAATGCAAAAAATTTGTTTATTAAAAACTTTAAAAATATTTTAGTTAATCGAATCTTTTTTACACAAGAAATTGGTTACAAGATTGTGTGAATTCTTGTGGTAAGCGATACCTATGTAACAAAGTGGTAATATACCTGAGCTTGGTATGCTCAAAATTGTTAACTTGATTGATAAAGTGCTTCTCATATAGCGTAAGGTTGAAATTTTCTAATTCAAGCAATAAAAAAATTAACTTAAATGCCAATAAACCGCTATTTACAAAAAAAGAATCGAACTCGCGACACGTCGCACAGTAGCCAGTTGCCCAGCGACTCGTGCAGTCAAAGTGCTTGAATGCATACTTTATAAAACTGTATTATAAATAATAGAACTTACCAGGTTGCGAGTTAGGGTCCGCTGTATAGTGAACGTGCGCGATCTCACGCTTCAGGTTCCGTACCCTCTTGCGATAGTACAACAGTACTAGTATGGCTATAGCAGCGCAGATGAACGCTAGTATTATCATCACTACTGTTAGGCCGGACGTTGAGGATTCTCCTAGGAAAATTAATCACTATAATTACCAGTATTAAAATATAAGCGTGCGGAATAAAATAGTTATCTTGAGTAGGTCTTATTTTTTTGTTATTGATTGTGTAATATTAAAACTGACTAGAACTAAGCAATACATTCTAATACTTTAAAATATTTTTGTAACCTTCTGCGTCGCGCAGCAGAACTTTGAAATCTTCCGGCGGCGGTATTCCCGAACCAATACCACCTTCAAACCTTCAAGAAACGAGCGTACTCCTTCTTGAAAAGTCAGCAACTTGCCTTGACTCCTCTGGTGCTGCGGATGTCCATGGGCGGCGCCGATCACTTACGATCAGGTGTTACGTCTGCTCGCTTGCGTCCTATTCCATAAAAAATAACTATCAAAATTTTAAGACATCCGCCACTTACTGCTAGTATCAATTCCCGTGACGATGGCATCACTGGCGTGTATGTCGCATTTCTCGCCAATGAAGCCGCGGTGACAGATACACCCGACCACCGGGTCACATACCCAGTTTCCTTCCGAAGAACAGTTGCAAGGCTCCATGCAATGGTCACCGAAGTATCCCTCAGGACAAACTGTAAAAGTAAAGTCGATAGTTTACTTTTAGTTGCATATTGTAGGAGTATATAATATAGATATAAGATGTCAATGATGATACAATTTAAGAATTTTGTGGCAATGAGGGCTTATATTGTTTCTTTTTTTTAAGTAGATGGCACTAATCTATGTTTGTCCAATCACTGCATGCATAATGTCGTATTGTTTGACACTTAAAAAATTTTCCATTAAATAAGTGGGCAATATTATAACGTGTAACGTGTAAGTGGTATATTATAACACTAAAAAACTTTGTAACTAAACGACGATGCGTTATGATCAAATTAGCTTCCGTCCGCGGCTTCGCCCGCGTGGTACGTTGATAAAAAGTAGCCTATGTCCTATTCCGGAGTGTATCCTATGTCTGTGTCAAATTTAGATCCATCCAGCCGTTTTGGCGCGATTGAGTGACAAACATCCAAACACCAAAACATCGTAACTTTCGCATTTATAATATTAGTAAGATAGTTTTTAAATAATTGACTAGATTACAGTTGAGGGCTAACCCTCCTCTAGCGTGGCCCACATGTTGTCCCCCATGGCATTCAAATGATATAATGAGTGTAAAGATTGGTGAAGCAAATAAGTACTATACCGTCAACGTATCTTGGCGAGTCTGAAGTTAGCCGATTAGCTGGGCAGTACACAATTTTGTTCCTAAAAAGATCCATTGCGTAGACAAACGGCTAACTTCAGACTGGCCAAGATACGTCGGCCGTAAATATGAGTAAGTATAAGGTCGGCCGTAAGTACGTACACTGCGTGCAGTAATGTCCGGTGTAGCCGGGCGGACAGCGGCAGTAGCCGTCGTTGGGGCGGCAGGCGGCGCGCGGCGCGCAGCGACACGGCTGCGAGCACGCCGCGCCCCACCACCCCGCGCCGCACGCCGCCTCGCACTGCGCGCCGCGCCACCCCGCCAGGCACTGGCACGCTCCTGTAACACATACCATAATCAATAGATACACTAAAGGGGTGAATAAATGTTGGCAAAATTCCTATTGTCTATTCACCCCGTTTTATCGTAATATGTCTAAGCCAACTTTACTGAAGTACATGTAAACACTTTTTGTGTGGGAAAAAGTATCATATGACTTCTTTTGCCCAGGATATTTTTCTTTTCTTTTTATGGGACAAGCCTGCCGCATTCTCCCTAAATCTCCTGTAAGTCAGGATCTACGGTAGATTTAGATCTACAGTATATTACTCAGGGTACGGCTAGAGAAAGTCTCTTACTGACTAAACGCCCCGTTCTTCTACTCCAATCCGAGGCCGCAGTACGTACCTTATTGCGCTTGACTTTCGACCCCGGTTTACATAACATTATAGACGTCAATGGAATTAAAGTTTCATTTTTAACATTGTTATAATCAGCTGGGAAACTATAATTACTGCAGTAAAGCTATAAAGTTTTAATAATGTCGATCTACCTAGTGGCAAGCCTGTTAACATCTTGCACTCCGAGGTTGGCACTCGAGCACTATTCTGATCCATCTGTCATTTTTGTCTTTTTCCTAATTATTCTTTACTCAAAATTGTTATTTATAAAATTATTTACGTATACAAATGTTAAATGAACCTTATTTATAAGAATCTTTTGCAAAGATGTCCAAGTAGTTTCGAACTATACCAGAGCCCATAATCGTGAGATGCGTAAACACGAAAATATTTATCATTTTAATTAGTGTTGTCTATTTATGTAGTCTAATCATAATTATTTATAGAACAATATATCACATACCCGTAACATGGTGACAATCTGCGCCATTCTTACACGTGCACTTTTCCTTGCACCCAGCGCCGTAAGTACCAAGTGGGCAGGGGTATTCGCACGTCACACCAGTGAAACCGTTCGGACAAGCATACACGCCAGTCACGGGATCGCAAGTAGAGTTACCTGCGCAACGATAACATTCTTACACAATTCAAAACAAATTCACCATAAAGTTTATAAACTTGAAACCGCTGCATAAACACGTTAAAACCTGCTTGTATAATCTGCAAACCTGGCCAGTAATTTGAGGCTGTGAACAAGCGCTACAGTTCGGTGCTTTACATTGTTTCATGCATTAAAATCTAAGTAAAGAAAAAATGAATTGAAACATAGTGTTCGACATCTTTTACATAATTGAAATATTGTACTGTAAGTTGTAGATTTGAATATTGTGCAAATATAATTACGTTTTACCCACTATTGCTGGGTATTGGTCCCTTTTTGTAACTTATGATTATAATGATATATTTTTTAATAATTATTCTGTTAACAGGAGCTGTGACCTAAGTTAAGTTACAAAAACCACAACAATTTTATTATATAAATTTTCTTGATTTTTGGTATGATGATTACTATTATGTAATAGAAATTAATAACTTCTTTGACTGTGTTTTATATAGGTAATAAGGTACATTAAGAAACAGAAGAAAATAAAGTTACCATTGGGGTTTTCGGGGCAGAGTTGCGTGCATCCGGCGCCGTAGTAGCCGGGCGGGCAGGGCGTGGTGCAGTCGACGCCGGTCCAGCCGGCTGCGCAGACGCAGCGGCCGCTGGACGCGTCGCACGACGAGTTGTTCCCGCACGGACACTTCTCCGAGCAGTGCTCCCCGTACCGACCCTCCGCGCACTGCGTCTCACACCTTACACCTATAATACCATCAACAATTAGGTACTTTCCTGAGTCGAATATAAATCAATTCGAAGTTTCAATACAATAAAATATTGAAAACTAACTACCTATACTTTTATTCATCGATCTATCGATACACTAATTTTTCGATATATTTTGGCTAATCATCAAGCTTTTTGACGCAAAGTTACTATGACGTCATAATTTGAAGTTTTTTGACATTTGTATAAAAGTATTGAATTAACTATTAGCAAACTACCGTATGGATTACATGTTTTACTCCCGATTAGGAATGACTCCACACATTGACAAAAGTTTACACTCAATAAATGTTACCATCTGACTGTTATCTTATTTACCCACTTGAGTTATAGTCGTTATATAACTTGTAAAATATGACAAATTATTATGGTCAGGAATGTGACAAATTTTTCTCAAATAAAAAAAACTATATTTTGAAACAACTTGTAATATCTCATTTATTACCTATTATTAGTATTCAACTTTAGCCAATAATTGATTTGTTATAAGTAACTTACGTAATTCCCATTACATTGTTTTTTTTTTCATAATACATTTTCAAGAATGTTTACTACGATGAAAAGGAAAGATCTACAGAAATATAAAGAATAAGCAGCTAAAGAAGATTACATACAGCAGAAATAAGAATGAAATGGAATGAAGCACTAACGCAAACATGTCGTGCAAAAAAAACAATTGACAATTGATATTTAGTAAGAATTTACGCTATACTAAACTTATTAATATCCCTTAGTGTTTACTGACTAGTAATTTTGTGAATGCCTGTTAATAAGACTATAATAAGACATTAGTCCTTATTTACGCCTAGTGTAATACTATTTTTATAAAGAATCAGGTGTACCACATTACTTTTATAAATAACAGTACATTGCATGAGACCTACATAATGTTTGTAAAATACAAGTAAGAATGATGTCATAGAAAGGTAACCTCAAAAATAAGTTTTTTTTAAGAATACACAAAAAGAAGTGACATAAGGCATAGGTATCATTAAGCCTTCGAAAACTTTTTGAACATCCAAACAACAAAACATTTTCACAATATTTATTAAATATCTACATATTTTTCAGACGTGTTTAATATGCCAGAAGATACTTTATTCACGTAGGTCTGTCCTTGATTGACAGAAACTTCCCATACGGCTGCCGTTTGATATTGTCGTTTTTGACTCACAACTGCTACAATGGTTTTTGCCGTAGTCACTTCGAGCAAATTGAGTGCACGTGTTACTATGGATAAAATGTGGTTAGAATCAGCATGTTCTTTATCAGCCTGCCAGGACGCACAGCTAGTTATAGGTATCTTGTTTAAATGATCGCATTCCTCCGAGACAACTTCGTTCAACATGGCATAGCGATCAAAATCTCTGTCATATTCCCGCTCGTCATTATCATACTCTAGCGCAGTGCCATGCCCTCCGCCGTTATATTTCGTCCGCAAATATAGCTGCTGGCTCTTCTCCTCTTCATCAGCCATATTCTCATTAGCATCTTTATTCCGAATTAACTTTGAATTGTTGTTCGCACACAGAGTGTCATAAGGGACGGCAGACCCTGATAAATCTGACACAATAGTAAACATATTGAAATTATACATACCTATCCTAGTAAGACCTGCATCAAAATTTTGATTCAAATTATATGAAGATGAATGTAGTGTGTGAGGTTTATCAAACAGTTCCTTTTATTTATTCATTTGGATGATACAAACTAAAATGTACTGATGATGAAATTCTAAGGTCAAACATTACAGAATAATACTATTCGCCATGAATGACAAGCTGCGGTAAATGGGTGCCACAATGGATGACAATGGCAATGAATTGTCATGGTGAGTTTCGAAGTCAAATGCCAAAAATATCGCGTCACATCCGCACACGTATCTATAGGTACCCACTTTACGCCTAGAATAAGTAACCTATTAGTAAAAATATATGTAGAATTATGATATCTGACCTCTCCAAGCGCTCTCGCAGATACACTGTCCAGTGACGTGATCACAGCCGCGTGCATTTTCAGAGCAGTTACAGCGATGTATGCAGCCGAGCCCGAAGAAGCCCGCCGGGCAGCGACGGTCGCAGCGCGCCCCCGTGTACCCCGCGCCGCATACACACTCGCCTGTGACAATTTTTGATATAGTTACAATTTATAACTTACATCTTTTAAAACTGCGGTGGCCGCAAAGTGGCTGGAATTGTAAAAAAATGAAGTTTCTAACATTAGACATCACAGACAAACGGTGAAGGCAAACATAACAAAATAAACTTAAGACTTATAATTTCTAATTATATGTTTAAAATCACCAATCCGTCAAGCAAGCGTGATAATAACTCAGACTTTCACCGTGTGATAGAGGCCTCGCACAGCAGAGGACGGAAATGAAAAAGGGATGAAATTTCTGCCGAAATCGGATTTCTATCCAGATTTTTTTTGGATTTAGATCAGAAATTAATTTCAGCCGTACCCATAAAGAAAAACCAGCATTTGTCTTCTTTAATATACATACCGTTCACAGGGTTGCAGGGCGCATCGTTCTCACAATTACATGGTTGGCGACAATTCAAGCCGAACGTTTTTCCGTTACATGGCCGATCACATTTTAGTCCTTCGTATCTGTAATTAAAGAAATGTGTGTTATAAAATACAACATTACTCGAAATGAATGTAGTATTAAAATTTATAATAATATTATTTATTTTGATAACGATATAAAATACTTTAGTTGCATACTATTTAAGTAATATTTAAAGTATATATATATAGGATAGTTACACTTATATTTATGATGTAATAATACCATAACCTTTAATTATAAGGTAAACTATAAACTCATGTATCCAATTTCGCATTTAAATAAATCATAAGTAATTTTATAAATAACTAGCTGGCCCGGTGAATTAAGTATTGTTTCAAAATTACACTTTTGAGACCAGTTTGTTTGGGAAAGATTGTATTTTTATTATAAACTAGCTCTTACCCGCGGCGTCGCTCCCGTCATTTGACTACCTACCCTACTCTGCCTACCCTACCTACCCTACTCTACTTACCCTACCTACCCTACTTTACCTACCCTACTTTACCTACCCTACTATACCTACCCTACTCTTCCTACCCTACTCTACCTACCCTAGACTACCTACCCTACTCTACCTACCCTACTCTACCTACCCTACTCTACTTAACCTTCTCTACCTACTTTATCCTATCCTATGTCCTTCTCCTAGCTCTAAACTACCTCCCTGCCAATTATCAGCTAAATCGGTTCAGCCGTTCTTGAGTTATAAGTGGTGTAACTAACACGACTTTCTTTTAAATATATAGATTTTTCTGAGTTTTCTTTCTCATTGCTTAGGTTTTCCTGGCCATTATTCCAAGACCCAAAATTAACTAAGTCGGTGTAATCGTGTCAGAGAAACGAAATATATAAATGGTATGGTGCAATCCACAACACGCAATTTATCACAATAGAAGCACGTGGCGTGACACAATGTTTATTTTTTTTAACATACTTTACTAAATAAAGCGCTGATTAACTATGCTATCGTATGTAATTATTAAATAATGAAGCTTATCTATCACTGTATTCTTAATAGTTTAAAGTGATTTTTGTATGCCGCTTAATTAAAGTAATTGTGTGACCCAGATATCTCATTTTTAATACTTTAAAATAAGTATATCATATCAAACTAAATATTAAAATTAATCACTTATACTGGCAAATTATTAAGAAGGCAACGGTTAGAAGAACCAGACTGGTTTCATTTACCAGAGCGAGTTAAATCGTCGCTCTCATGAGAAGCACAGGACACCTCGACTCTTATGACACACCATCCCTTTTTTGGCTTATAACTAATTAAACTACCCCTTCAAACGATTACATGAGAAAGTAATTTCTAAATTAATTATTTCGTAGTAAGTTTTACAATAAAAAACTAAAATGCACAGCTTTTTACTTTTTGAGGAAAGTCATTTTCTCTATAAACTTAGTACTCACCCCGGCTTGCATTCACAGAGTCCAGTTTCGTGCGAGCAGGTCGCATTGTTGTAACAATCACATGTACGGGAACAGTTGTCTCCGTAGTACGGGTACTGACAGAGTTCCTCACAACGCAGGCCACGGTACCCAGGTGCACATAGACATGAACCTGCATAAATCAATATTGCAAGTGATAAGTAACAACCAGATCTAGAAATAATGCCATATTTTTACTGAGTTTTTAATTATTGAAAATAGTTGGTGAAGACCCGCCTGTGAGTGCCTAATGAGTTCGAAACGTTTAGGACGATCAGCGCTCTGATTGGCCTGCTCAAACTAAACCAACCAATCAGAGGGCTAAGACGGTTAAGCAGTATCGTTCAAATGGTGTTAGCATTAAAATAACTCAAACTAGGCACACTGTACAATGAGTGTCGACATTGAATAACGTACACTCATCAAAAGAAAATTTTAAATTTAATATAAAGATATATATTTTTGTAGTTGCTTTAACTATAATTTGTAACATATAAATTACCATTGACAGGCGAACACAGTCCACTGTTCTCGCAGCGACACGTAGACCGGCATCCCTTCCCGTACGTCAGTAGCGGGCACTGTCGCTCGCAAGACTCCCCGCCCCAACCCGCCGAGCACTCACACGCACCGGTCCAAGGATCACACCTATGTAAACCAATATTATATTGTCACTTGTCCTTATCTAATACGACCAGTGGTTCCAAAGATTACCCCTACATACAAACTTAATGATTTTGCCTCTTTATAATATTAGTATAGATTATAAAGCTGTGAAATTCGTATGTTTGAACGCACCAATCTCCGGAACTACTGGTTTGAGTTGAACAATACTTTTGTGTTCGTTAGTCCATTTATCGAGGAAAGCTAAAGATAGGCTATAAAACATGACGTTATAGGAGCCGAGCAGCTAGTCAAACCGTGCAAGAGTCTCTAGTAATTTATATTTACTTAATTATTAGTTGTAAAATACAGAGTGTAAAATACAAAAAAAAAAAAACAATTATCACGTTATGGGGTGACTTTTTAAAAACACCACATTCTACATATACATTTAATGAAACAATTTTGGAAATACAGGCTCTGAAAAGGGATTCACTTCTTAGCGGTTTGCATCTTTGACTTTTCACAAAAAGTTAAGTATGTTAATTAGTTAATATGCCTTAAAGCAACTTTTTTACATTACAATTTGAGTTGAAAATCGATTACCAATTAGTAATTTAATAACAACAAAATAAGAATTGAGTAGAGAATATGACAATTACCAAATTGGTATATAATTACATTAATATTTGCAAAAGCTATTGCTTGCTAACTGTGTTTGCTCTAAATATCCTGCTCATTATCTACACATTACCATACGAAAACTTCACACAAAAAAATCTTTTGCTTTTTCCCAATAGGTCGTGAGAGATAAGCTCGTACTGACATTGTTCAGGGTTCGTATGTGCAACAAACAACACTGATTAAAAACAACAATAACAATCTACTATATCAGTTAAGCTTTAGATTTTATCGCTAATCTACGTAGTGCCAAACCCAAAATTAAAAAAGAAAGATAAAAAATATAATATTGCTATTAAGCTGACGACTTGTCTGGCTGAGGACAATAATATATAGAAACTTCGGTCGAATTCATACAACATAAATTCATACAACTCTGGTATTGTTACTTTGGTGAGAATTAAAAAAACAGGTGGACAGGGCCTTTTTCAAGGTAGGCTACTGTAGTAGAGGGCAACGTTTTTTTTTAAATAATACTGATGATTTGTCTGGCTGAGGACAAATAATTGATAGAATCTTTGGTCTGACTTGATAAGTTCAAACAATTAAAGATATAATTGTTAGTTTGGTAAGAATTGAAAAAGAGATGTACCTACAGTGCATATTTCAATACCTATTTATATAAAAATCAATACCAATTTTTGTCGTAATGTTATAATTCAACAATACTTCTACCTCTTTGGCTAGTTTTAGTCTTGTATTATTCTTAGAAGACCAGAGAAGGTTTGCACGTAGAGATAATTAAAAAAAACTGGAGCCGCTGGCGACCGCTAGTAGACTATAGGTATCATGCTTGGCCCAGTAGCAAACGGGACCGCGCTGGAGTAATTAGTACAATAATAATTATAATTACATGTCTGTAGTAGCAGGATTGCACTCGCAATCTCGATCGCAGTTGGCGCCCCACTTGTTGGCTGGACATGCTCGGTTCTGACATCTGTCACCGGTCCACCCAGGTTTGCATTCGCAAGACCCGTCCTTTGAAGAACACACGCCATTATGCTCGCACTGACACTTTCTAGAACAATCCACGCCCCACGTACCCACTGGACATATCTCTAGACACTGTAACAGATACAAAAAGACAAAGTTAGATACGAGTAATAATTTTCATTCTCGTGTGAGATACCCATCTAGGGCAAAAGAAGACATTTGATGATAAAATTCCAACTGATCACTTAAATAATTAATATTAATTAATAAGTAATACGTTGTAGTTTATAATATTAAGCAATCGTTCTATTAATTATTTACAAGATAGCTTTAGTTTACCCATTTCAATCGCACGGGAAGTGTTCAATAACATAACTACTGATAACAGTAGCTTTTCAGGATAATTTGACAATTACGTACAATCCAATGTCAAGCATAATAAAATAACGTAGTTGTTATTTAATTAATTGTTGTATTTGTAATTTAATAACAAAAACATTACTATTATGAGACTTTCTGTTGTTGTGTTTGTCCTGATTGTGTTTACCCTGAGACGGCAAAAAATTTACAGTTTTCTAAATCCATTCGTATAGGCATAAAAGAGTAGCAAATACTCAACACACATACAAGGAACATTTGTACATACAAAATTCAGTTCTGCATAATATAATAAAAAAAAAATATATTATGTAGCAATAATAGGAGGGATGGATACCTTTTCTCCGGTAAAGCCAGCTTCGCACTGGCAGCGACCGGTGACGTGATGACAACCAGCTCCGTTAGCACATTCACAAGATTTCTCACATTTCGGTCCCCACCTTCCCGATGGACACCTATAAACAAACATTAATATTAACATTTTTGGAGGTAAGCAGATTATGTAACCTTTTATTTGTTAAGCCCGTTAAAGAATCTATACTTATACTAATATTATAAATGCGAAAGTACACATACTAATATTATAGATGCGATTTTTGGATGTTTGTTACGCAATCACGACAAAACGGCTGGACGGATCTGGATGAAATTTGGCACAGACGTAGGATACACTCCGGAATAGGACATAGGCTTCAATTTAACAACATACCACGCGGGCGAAGCCGAGGGCGGAAGCTAGTATTTTCATATGTACGAAAAAGGAAATACATTTTTTGGGCTCTGAAAGTGATTAAAATACTGATTAATATTGCTACAATGTAGTATCTGAAGCTATCGATAATATGAAGCGAAAGACGGAACATTTTTTATTTCTTTTTTTATTATGTAAAACTATCAACCGACTCTTCCCACCCAGTTTCATCCTGATTGAAGTTGATACGTTCGAACACCTGCTTCGTGCCAATGCCCCGTGGCCGACTAACTGTTCCGCATTGTTGTTGCTCATGTCTGATTGGCAAATGGACAATGGCGTGTGGGATATGGGTTTTACACAGTAACACAGGTACACGTTTGCTGTCACTATGTGTGGAAGATGACATCGTAACAATAAATGAAAAAAGAAGCCCTACCTCAAAGACTCACTGATGACAACTCGCCCATAAATGTATGGAGCTTGAATGATCCCTTTGACAATGGAAAGTCGTCGGAAGTTATCACCAGGGCCAAGCCGCAAGGGACATATAAATTAAAATGCAATTATTGATACTTACTTATTCGCACAAACTTCTCCAGTCCACCCAGAGGGGCAATCACAGGTTGATAGAAAAGTACATTTTCCATTGTTCTGACAGGGGCATCTTACGGGACACGGTTCATCGCTAGGACAAGCTTCTTCACATCTGAAAGAACCAAGTTCCTTATTATGACGCCAACACAACTACCTATTATGTAAATAAATCCGAATGTTTGCGAACGCTCGCGTAATACGGTACTAATTTGTAACGAGAACTATAAACAGTTGGTTCCCGTTTCATTAAACATTGTGCCTCATAGAACCTGGAATGTTGGTAAAACGCTTCGAAGGAATTTATTATTTATTTGTATATGCACACACGAAATAAGATTATTCATATTGTTTGTGTAAACACTCTTACACCGCTCGGGTTGACATATAAATTTGTAAGTCAAAAACTTGGATACAACGGAACCGATTTTAATGAAACTTGGTTCGCATGCGTGATCATGGCCTAAAAATTGTATTAAAACATTTTCGAAAAAGAGTTCAGAAAAACTGAAAAGGAAATTTTATGTTTTATGTAAGAATAATATCGGGACCGAATAAAGAAGATATCAAAAATAATAATTAATCAAAAACCTTCCATAAATTGTGTATAAGTAGGTACAAAGTTTTATTAAAACAAAGTTTTGTACTAAAGTTTCCGTGATTCTTGACTAGAAAGTAAATTAAGACCTTCATAAATTGTGTATAAGCACAAAGTTTAATAAAACAAGGTTTTATAGTTGCCATCATTCTTGACTAGGAAGCTTGTTTCAACCCGTTCAACCCGTGATGCGTAAACTGTCAATGTAATTAAATAAAAAAAATGTTTTTATAGTCTCATACAACTTGATAAAAGATAAAAATATATGCACTGTTAATATGTATTTGTGTAATCGTATTGCACCCAATAAGAAAAAAAAAGGAACACACTTGGGTGGATCTGTAATAGCAACTAGAGAGTGATTACATATATAAAGGGTTACACTTACAAGGGTCCAGTGAATCCCGGAGGACATTTGCAAGCTCCGGAGGCAGGGTCACAGGTACCATTGTTCGTGCACTGGCACAGCTCATCGCAGTTGTCGCCGTAGGTTGGAGGAGCACAAGCGCGCTCGCAAGCGTCGCCTCGCCAGCCCGCCGTGCAAGCGCACTTGCCAGTCAAAGGTTCACAAGTACCACCATTCATACACGAACATTCGTTCTGACAGTTTCGACCCCATTTCCCATCAGGGCAAGCTGGAAATAATATCAGATTTAAGCAAGAAAAGAGAATGTAGTCTGTTCGGCGCTGAAACGCCTGCTTCGAAACGCGTTAAACAAGTAAGTGTGGAGAGCCAAGCTTTGGCACGAATGGGTCGGCTCGACCAGAGTGATACCACGGCCTTACAGAAAACCGGCGTGAGTGTTTCGCCATATGAGTCAGGTTACCGGAGGTCCAATCCCTCTCCCTCACTCCATCCCTTCTCAATCCTTAAATATCTAAAACCCTTTTCCCTAAAAAGCACATACTCGTAACTCCTTTGGTTTTGCTGGTGTCCATGGACGACGCTGATTGCTTACCATCAGGTAATCAGTCTGCTCGTTGGCCTACCTATACCATAAAAAAACAAAATAGGTACACATTTTTTTATTATTCTATTTAACTTTATGCTTCAATAGCTCACTAGTTTTAGCATAAGTATAATCCGTTCCCAAAAAAGTTTACATTTCAATAACAATATTAGCATCGTTAACTATGCCATGTAAACACAAACTTGTATTTATCAATGCATCTAACACGCCTTTTCAGCACGGACCTAAGTTTCCATTGAGTGTTGAAGGACATTTTTGGCAACGATATTTATGCAGCTATAGATAAAGGTAATGACTTTATGACTTACGACAGTTATAATAGGGTTGTTTGTTCAATGAACAATAACACTGTATTATACTTAGAGCTACAATTGGCTCCACTATTTCGTGAACAATGCAGTATTTACTTCAATATTACTACTAGCTTTTTCTTATAATGATTTGTGAATGATTCACGGTCTTTGGTGTCGCATTGCCGTGAACTGTCGATGACGTATCGATGAACCTTTGTCTTGTTCAATGACAATACACCGTTTTTCTAACAACTTAAAACTGAATGTAAATTCTAATAATCTCGAAAATTTCGATGGTGAAATCCGACGCATTATTTTTGATGCGACCTAAGTAGGTATATGTATACCTAGAGCATAACACCGGTGTTCACAAAACTACAGAATAAAATAAAATAAATATATTCCGACTTTCATCAACTAACTAAACGAACCGAGAATTTTGTTCACGATATACTTTAATGGGCGTTTCTGATTGATTGCCTTTTAGACTTACACAATTAAAATTCTATTCGTTACTCAGAATTGCTACAAGAAAATAAAGAGTTTCATACTTCAGCAAGCATTTTAAAGTGATAAATATCTGAAACCAAGAGTAGGTTATTTGTTTCTGTAGTTCTGATTGTGAGCTCTATAGTATAAATAAATGGCAAAGTGATCTTTGTACCTATAATATAGCTAGCATATACTATGTCTATAGAATTACTAATTAAAACTTATTATTCGATAGTATTGCCACGGCTGCTGTTCATTTGTACGGACATGGAGCAGAAACATCACATTAGCGACATCCTGTTTACAGCGTTATTCATAGCTGTGGAGTACGGGGAACTCATAATTGACAGTTTCTATATGAAATGTATCTTACATATGTCGCAGGCTGGGCCGCCGTAGCCGTGTGCGCAGGCACATGTATTGGGCGCCACACACTTGCCGTGGACACAGGACTCTGTGCACACTGGCACGCACTGCTCCCCTCGAGCGTCAGGCGCGTACCCTGCACAGCATTCCTCCACTGGCCTATACTTCACCAACGTCTGAGTCTTGAACACATCCCTAAACTTAATCTTGTACTTGGAACATTTCGGTGGGACATTGAAGCACCATGTATACTCCTTCACTTGATATGGCTGTTTCTCTGACACTCGTATCGTCGTAGTGTATCTGGAACAATTAATACAAATTGGTATGTAAGTGTTTCACGCAAGTGTCATGCCGTTAACGTAACTAGCGTAATTACATATGTAAATGATGCTAGACGACTGAGATTACAATAATTAAATTATGTATTACATAATTTTACTACCTATATCGATAGTTAGATAGTATGCCACTAAACAAATGGCATACAGTCAGAAAGTGCAGTCTTAAGTTCATTGTCAGTTGATAATGCATGGGCCGACGGATATCGATAATAGTAACATTGAACTGTTATATTCACAAAGCTAACAAGTAACAGCGCGGGGCGGAAAACTCGATAAAGTTAACTGACCCGATGAGTAACGACACTGATCAGCACCAATCAGCCGCCCCAACATATAAAAGTAAATAATAAACAAGGTCCTCTCACTGGACCAATATTGGGTAACAAGGAACACGAATGTTAATCCATATTATTATTCGCCTTAGTTAAAAAGAACTTTACAATATATTCTGACTATAGAGTCCGTCAGGTAAATAAATGCATTTATTTATAAACAGGTCATCAAATAAAATCACTTGCCCAGGGTGAAGCGAGAGGAAGTGTAAGACTCTTAGTGACTAAAAACCCCGTTCCTTCTCCTGCTCTGGGCCGAGGCTGCAGTATCATTTGATGGTTTCAACCCAGTCCTAAGCAATTATTTTCGAAACAAAATCGTTACTAAGGAATAGTTTGACTACCTAATCATTAAATGTCTCTGACTAGAGCAGGTAGCTAACTATTTACGTTTACCATTCACCTCAATAACTTACTTATAATTAAATATATTCTTACGACTTTTAATACGTTGCTACAATATCCATAATTCGGTTTGTCCATAACTGGCTACTACCTAGTTAGGATATGGTTATGGTCTGGATTTGCTTAAGACTGTAAAATGGGTCATTCAATTAAGGCTACACATTCAGAAATAGACGAAACCTGATATTTATTTATCAATAAATAAATAATTAAAACTTTTATCTGCAACATTAATCATAGCTTAAATTATAGTCGAAAAAATGCCGTTGTTGCCATAAATACAATAATAGAATGCGCCAACAAAACGTTACCCGTTAATGAACCAACAATGACAAGAGTAATGTTGTATTTTGTATTAAATCGGACCAGTTAATAGCTTAGCACTCTTAACCAAACAAACAAAGTCTTAAGACTTTGTAATAAGTAACAAATAAAAGTAAACATTAAGGAAAATAAACTGTTTTAATAAATTGCACTTCCAACTATTTAATGAGTCAACTCAATATTTATGATTGTGTATGTAAGAGTAATTATGTATTACTTACTGTGTAAAAAATATACACTATTTTTTGTAACAGTAGACATAATAGTCTTTTAAATTAACTATTACAATACTACCTAGGTATGAGTAAATTTAAGAATTAAATTCAACAATAAATTAATTCAGCTACTGGACAATACGTCCCATGAACTAAAAACTGAATAGGTAACACGGAAAAGACAGTAAATTGTTTTTATAAACAATTGAAAAATTTAAAATAATTATAAAATTTTGTATTTAACTTATTTGTGCCACTATAGAATCCTAACTAATATTATAAATGCGAAAGTAACTCTGTCTGTCTGTCTGTTACGCTTTCCCGCTTAAACCTCGCAACCGATTTTAATGAAATTTGGTACAGACAATCTTTAGACCCTGAGACAGAACATAGGCTACTTTTTTTTTCGAAAAACAGGGATAAAGGGGTTGAAATGGGGGTTAAAAGTTTGTATGGGATTTCTTATTTTTTAAAGATAAAACCATAAAACTTAATATTTCTATTATTTTTGAAATTTCGACCAGCTAGGGGGTGATATAAGGGTTGAAAGTTAGTATGCAATTTCGTCAAATATCACAAGAAACAAAAAATTGTTTGTAGGTACTAGCATTTTGAAAATTTTATCAGTGTGATATGTAGTGAAATAGGGGATGAATTGAAGGTAAGACCCATAACGGATTCGGAACGGGATCTACAAAGCCAACCTTTATGTAGGTATACGAAATCTTAACTATTGAACCTAGGAACATGTAATTTAGAAGGGTTTTGGGTGTATCAAGTTACAAAATAGTTCACTTTCGAAGTATAAATTCCTTTTAATGAACACTCTGCATCGGCGTCGCCACATTCGCCGAAGTGCGGCGCGGCCGCGGCGTTGTCGTGTGGTGGGGAAGCGCACGAATCTAACTGTCTACCCGAACGGACAGACGTCGTTGTCGGGTGCGATAAGAGAAATTTGCGCTTTAGAGAATTACATTTTTCGATCCAGTAAAATTATGTTATTGTTTCGTCTATAACTTTTAAGTGTTTTTTATTAATTAGATCCTGTAAATAAATTTTGCACATACTTATATTTCTTTTAGTTCATAGTTACAACGTTACAAGTAGGTAAGATAGTTTCCGTTACTTTAAATAAATACGATTTGCTTATATTTCCTTTTTTTATTCAATTAATCTAATAGCATCCTACTTTTTTGCAATGGTTGTAAATAAGTACTTATCCAAGAAGGTGCAGGTAGGGTGAACAAAGGTTTTTTAATATAATAAATCTTAATCTGTACATCTGTTTTGTTCGATTCATTTCATTTTTGTTGTTCTATGATGCCTCGCAAACGAAAGTCCAATTTAGCTAAAAGCTCTAGCAGAGCTCGGGCTGCTAAACTTGCCAGATCACTGGAATGAGACTTCTCGACAGACCCAAGCTCGCCAAGCCATTGATGCTGAGCGTCACGCGGCTCAAAGAGCTGCTGAGACCTCTCAACAGTCCCAAGCTCGCCAAATCATTGATGCCGAGCATCACGCGGATCAAAGAGCTGCTGAGACTTCTCAACACACCCAAGCTCGCCAAATCTTAGATGCTGAGCGTCAAGCTTCGTACATAGCCGCAGAGACCTCCGAAGAAACACGTAGACGACGTTTAATTAATGCCGAGCGGCAAAGGAGACGTACGTTTACGATGAATACGTGGGAGGCATTTGCCGATGCTGCTTTTAATTATGATCTGTTACTTGATTACTTTAATCATCGATTAGTCCTCATAGATAGAATGGCCAATAAATGCAGGCACTGTGAGGCACTCAAGTGGAAGGAAGAGACCCTAGGTATGTGCTGTTCTGGAGGCAAAGTATCAGTACCAACGCTTGGTGACCCCGAGGAGCAACGACAGAAGAAAGGACAGCAATGAATCTCGGCGATTTTTCCTGTCATCATGCCTGGATTTTCACCCACATTTACGGTAAAAGGGCAAGTTTATCATAGGATCTTTGCTTTCCACAAACAATGATCAACCAACATTTCTACAGATTTATTTTATGAGAGACGAAAACAGCGAGGTTGACCGTTAATGTCAAAATATTGAAGGAGATGAGAGGGACATTGTTTTAAAAATTCAAAGAATGTTGCACGAACATAATAACCTCATTAACACCTTCAAAACAGCCTTAGAAAAAATGCCACGGGAAAATCACAAATTAGTAATACTGGCAGATCGTACGCCAAGCGGGGAACATGAAAGACGTTATAATGCACCCTTATTAAACGAAGTCGCTGACATGGTGTGTGGTGAACAGTTCGCATCGCGCGATATTGTTTTTCAAACCCATGATAACACATTGATCAGGGTGTCCGACACACACAAGTTTTATGACGCACTACAATACCCGTTTATGTTTAGCAATGAGCAAGAGGGGTACCGTTTTCAAATTCCACAAGAAGTGTGGAATTTGAAAATGGTACTCCTGGGCTGGCCCCTGTAAGAGTCTCTTAGACATAAGGGACCAGGGTTGACAAAAAATAATTTGACGCGGGCGAAGCCGCGGGCGGAAGCTAGTTTATAATAAAATAAGGTTTAACAATTAGAACGACATGTCGGACAATGCTGTCCGACGCTAGCGAAGGGTTAGCCGTCAACAGTTTTTGTCGGCAGTCAAATGCTTAATGCATAACTAATAAAACTTATTGAAAATTAGGTAAGTATGTTATCAGCAAATAGTATTGTAACTTATTGTACTTTATTTTTCTACTCGACCCTCACCCCCTCATGATTGAGTGACACTATGTGCTACTAATTATTTTTTAGAACGTATACACATGTTTTTTGGTATACTGCTGCATGGTATTTTTGAATCAATATTTAAAAATAATTAAATTTACTATTAAAAACTTTGTATTACATTATACATTTGGCTCTTTAGCAAAACTTGAAGAAAAAATATTTCACTCGATATCAAATGATATTTTTTCTGGCTGCGAATCTAGGGATGGGCTCACAACTACCATGGTGATAGTTATTGGAGATTTATTAATTGTATTCGTATATGTAAATCAACTTCGACTAAATGGTCATGTTTATTATTATTAAACATTAGTGTCATGTATCCCTCTTAAAAGCGAAGGCATCAAATGGGTCTACCACAGAATAAATGTTAATGAATGATATATATCAAATATCAAGCTGGATATCATTTTTATCTACGCAATGTGCTTCCTCTTTTACACATAACACAGTGTATAAATGCGTACCTACATGACATACGTATGTTACACATTGTCTGACGTAATAGCCATAGTATCTCAAATGTTGAATCATCAGACACAGGACAGAGTATCAATGGGCGAGTATATTAGTAGCAAATGAAAACTTTACTAATGTCTGTTGGTCTTTTGTACACAGAAGAACCATTTTGGCTTTTTAAATAAAATGTGTATAAATTAGTAGTAAACAAATAAATACGTAAGTTAGCCGGTAGCTGTTCAGCAGGAATTCTGTGAATTCAGTATTAAGGTTAATGCTGACTGTCTCAATGGATGAATGCTTTAGTTTGAATTGGTCATGGATATAATCTTCGAAGCAACGTAGTGCGAAACTGTACAATTCGATACAATATATTGTTTCTATATTTATGGGTGGAATTAGGCAATAGGCTCTCTTTCCATCTTAGATAGATATACTGAAAGTATTAGCATGCTCCTTTTAATCATATACATTACACAGTACAATACATAATAAACAGTTTTAAGAAACAACCCAATGAGAAACTTGTTAGAAACAATCCAATACATAATAAATGTACAAAAAATTTATGACGTCCTTAATAGCTTAACAATTTCAGGAAATCAAAAAGTCCTTTATACCCAGTGTATGTCAACTTGTGCTTACTGCTTTGTTTACATTGGAAAACAATCAAATCGTTTTCATATTGTATTATCACAGACAGTAACAATGCCATTAAAAAAGGTTTTAGAAATGACTTAAAACATCAGTTATTAGTTAATCCAATGAATATCTACACATTATTAATTAAGTTAGGCACAAAATCACCTAATAAATATTAAAGAAAGGAAAATACCGGTAAATAAGGTGTTACCGGTATTATCAATGTGAGGGAAAACAATCGAGCACAGTTCAATTACCAACATAATCGTCTACATACACTGAATGAGTACAGCATAATCGTTTATGTAAACTTGTAAACGATTATGTGATATCATCCAGTTTTGTTCAATCAATTGAATGAAATGTACTCACGATTCTTGTCTGGTGCAGACATTGGGGCCTTCCAGGAGAGCATAAGTCAGGCTCACCAGCGCGAACAACACGCTGAGCACCGACCACATCTCGACTTCGGTTCACGCAATATAACGCCGTATCTCCATAACAAATCTATTGTTTTGCCGTTTTTGCGTCACAATAGGCATTCAAATCTGAAACCGTTGCACTTTTTTCTAAAACTATTGCGAAATACGGCTGCTGAATTTTACCTGAAATTAAAAAGATGCATTATACATATGGATAATGTTTCATTTGATTTGATTTGATGACATGTTTATTAATTATTGAAATTTGGCTAGTGAATCGAATATAGGACTTGGGCTAGTGGACTATAGAATAATATTTAATTTCATCTAGGTACTTTCAGATGTAATACCTATTATTGTGTCTATCGACAAAACCATTTATTTTCACAAAATCATTACGTGCACTACGCTTTCTACGTAGCCCGTGTGCCCAAATGAGACATCTTGTAAGGATGAAAGTAATATCACAAATCATCTCATTTATAATACAATCCAAAATGAAATAAAAGATGTCTGGGGGCTGACAATGAAGACTGCAGACATTGAGGCAACAATTTGTCAGTTCATCAATTTTATATTTATTCCGATGCGAGACAACACAGGCAGGAACCGATGATAACACGAACATGCATTCATGTACGTGTATTTTGCATGAAGAACTTATGTAATTTATAATAAACAAAGACGCCTCAATACGTAACATTTTCTCCATCAAAATAAAATTAAACTGCTTTTAGTTTTTACTCACTCGCATAAGCAAACATATTAATTTTAACATAAAGCAGTGTCCACATTTGTGTCTCTTTAAGAATGCGCTTTCAAAATATGAATAGTTGATTGATCATAATAAACCATTACAATAACGTATGAAGTTACAATAATAATAACAGTTTCATGTTGAACTGCTACATAAAATAATTTTAATCATACATAACGTCAAAACAATGAAAACAGTGATTCACATTATATTTATCAAACCTACGTAGGTTTCTGGAACTTGGCTTGCATTTATTTACTTAACGTTAATATAATATAATATGTTTAGTGCATTAATGTGCCTACAAAGTATAAAAAACAAGAAAAGCTTTATGTTGTACCTACTGGATGAAGAGAACTAGTTTAAAAATAGAAGCCAGAAGGAGATAAAAGTTGTTGCATTTATGGAATCCAGTAAAACTGCATAGCTGCTGCAATTATTAATTTTAAAATACGCGTCTAATAGCGCGGTGCACTGCTGTAAGTATTCACTCCTTACTGGAATCATTTTGAAGCACTCAATGCTTTGCAGTCACGTCATTATTAGGTACATAAAGCGGTTCAAATGCTTGGCCATTTTGCCTGCAAAACTAATAAATAGATTAAGATATCTGCTAAAATCATCATTATAGTCTCGTGCTGTAGAACTTGTTCGTTTTCATAAACCCATGTCAAATAGTTGCAGGTATCTACCTACAACTATTTTTTGCGAAATTTACATTCTGGGAAAATAATCGACAGACATTTTTGTCATGGCTCCGAATTTAAAAAACATTTTTTTTTTTTTAAATAGGTTTTTTTCTTTTATAAGCGACCAAATATAATATGTTACATAAGTATATCTGAAAGACTTTCCAAAAAATGCGTTTCACTGTCATAAAATACAGCTGTATTTTTTTTTATTGGGGAAAATCATCCATCCCTTCCGTCCATCATCCCCGCCCGGGCTGGGGCGAGAGAGAATGTCAGATTTACTGACTAAAACCCATTCCATTCCTTCTCTATTGTAGACTTTTAAGCCGCGTTACAATGTACCGAGGCCCCGGTCCAGCAGGAGGAACAAGGTTGTTTTAAGTCAGTAACTTTTAAGTCTGAGACTTCCTCTCCCTGGGCGGGAAAAGCATTTGGTGATTTTCCCCCTCCCACTCTACCCACGTAGCCACTTACTGAAGAAGTCTCACCTCATGAAAAGCTAGAATGTAATAATTAATTATATTACTTGGATACGTCATTGATACGTGATTTATCATCTCAAGAGGTACCTAACACTACCACAGACCGCAATACATACCTATATTATAGGGCAAAGCAAGATGTGGGTTTAGTAATGGTATTTGTAGTAGCAGTATTATGTCCAACTAACAACAAAATTTTATAACGTATTGTGGTTGGAGAAAAAGCAAAAAGCTCATCTTTATGGGTCAGAAAATAACAAAAACTAGGTATTTATTAAAACTTAGTCCCTCTTTTAAAACGACGTCATTCGCACTAGTTAGATATATTTATTATACATACCTATGTAGTTTATTGCTTTGCGAATTATTAATCAAGCATTTATATAAAATATTAAAGAACTTTTCAGTAATTCCCCTTTTTGTTGCATTATAAAGACTACAATAGGCCTTTCGTTCAATTGAAATGTTTTATCAAACAGCGCACCATTTAACACGATAAGCGTTATTAATAAAATAAAGTAATTGGTGTTGATTATTATGAGTGGCACTTCTAACGTAGATAAGTAGTGATTATTGCTACGCACAAGTTTACCAAGTAGGTCAAACAAGCCATGCTGCTTATTTAACAGAAACACGAGTAACTAGGATTCTATGGTCGTTGCGAATATTGTCAAAACACGAGTCAGCGATGTTGAAGACTAAAACAATTGAGCCCATCATGTCATGAGTTAAACAGGTCACCGCACTAACGTGTGGGCATGGATAAATATACAGGCATGTGGTGCAAGGAGCGAAAGTAGGGCGACTTACCGTACTAGTGCGAAATGCGAACGCCTACGTGGTCGCAGATTTGTTTATGATAATGAAGGAACTAGCCACGATTACATTTACATTCTTGAGTACAAAATATTATTTTAATACACAAAGAATAACTAAATAATGTCAGAAAATAAAGAAACGCTTTTGACTTGCACCACATACAAGGAGCTATTACCCAAGAGATCTGGGTGCGACGCAGACGCATCCGCATTTCGTTAAGGATGTAATGATAACGTATCAAAAATAAAAATTTCTAATTTAGATGATTTTATTAATTAAAAATAAAGCAGTAAAAGTGATTTGAGTAGATAGGTATAAAACGAACATTTTAAAAAGATAACCATTTAAGCGCGTCGTGGAATACGATGTGAGAAGCTTGAAATTTTGAAAATAAGGAGGATCTCATGGAAGTCTTACAGAAAAGGTTGTCAGAGAATTGATTGATAGTTCAATTTTTATTTTACAATGATATGAAACCATATTACGAGACGAAATAATAGCACGCATACATACAACTCGCGACAACTGTTAATTAATACTGTTCTCTTGATATTTACACTTTGCTAAATAAATACCTCCTTACACTATCTTTTATACTAGCGTTTATTGATAAATTTGATTACTATATGTGAGTACATGTGTAAGCATGAAGTAGATTTGCCAAGTTCAGTACCAGTACATATTTTGTAACTTGTAGCAATTAAGATAAGTTGCTGGAAGTAGTTATAAACAGTGGGATGAGTCATTTGTGATAAACAAGAGATAACTCTTGTTATTCACACAAGATAATACAGTGAGAAAAGTTATAACACTTAAACAAACTGTTCCAGGAACTAAAAACTTTGATACCTTGCTATTTTGGCTAAGAATTGTATTACTAAACTGTTACAGTCCATTAAATGCAATCATAACAGAAAATTATTCCACACACTTACTCAATATTTTCATATTATAGACTTTAAAATTACTTCAAAGCTATTTAATGGCTATGTCATAATAATGAGGCCACCACCTGACGGTTAAAATTTCAATACCAAAAATAAACACAGTTGTAGTAAATATGTTCAGCAGATGTTAATTCTACTAATAATTTTGGATTGCTCATTCCCAAGTATGAAAATACTTTAGCACATTCATTTGCTAATGGCATGAGTAAGTAAGCAAGAAAAGAATACTAATTAGAATGGTATTATTTTATGTATTAGCAACAATAGGAGATTTCTAAGAAAGAAAAAACTGGAACTATTGTGGTCCTTTTTGATGAAATAAAATTTTATTCTTTACTAGCTATTCTCGCGCGGTTTCACCCGCTGCTTGGCTCTATTTGATCGTAGCGTGATGTTTTATAGTCTATAGCACTCAGGAACATTGTAGCTATCTATCAGTGAAAGAATTTTGGCAATCCAACCAGCGGTTCCAAAGATTACCCCCTACATACAAACTTACAAACAGGTAAAATTTATAAGTTTGTACTTACAAATTTTACCTGTTTGTAATATTAGTATAGATAACATATAATACAATATACCTAATTTAATTATGACTAATATTTAATTTCAAAGTGAATTTACTCTCTTACTTTCAGTTTGAAAAAAAAACAAAATACTTACTTATAGAAAAAAATGTGCTTTGCAAAAACGATTAGTCTAGTCTAGCCTGTAAACAGTAGATTCAGTCAAGTTTATTGAGATCATCAAATTACTTGCGGAATAACAATTTGGTTTTGAATTTTGCCCATGTTGTTGCACAAGCTTAAAATGTGCAGAATGTGTAGAACACAAATATTTAATAAATTATCTGTTATGATCACAATCACTATCACTGTGTTAAAATGTATTACATGTATTTTACACTATTTCATTTATATAAATATAATTATAGTAATTACATAACTTTAACATAATATCTTAATTTTTAGCTCTGTATAATTTATAATAATAATGGGATACTAAAATAATACCGCATTTACATATATTTAATTGTTATAATGTCAATATTGGACTGATATAATTGATTGATTGATTTAACTATTGTTTGATAATTAAGTTATGAATTATCATTTTTGTCTTAATATTTTAATTTTAACTGTACATAATTTTTACCAGGCATTCCAATATTGAAAGATATATTAATACAGTACTTAATGTGATGTTTCCATGTCTGTCTTTGAATGCTATGCAACAAACAAAGGTACTACAAATTAATTTAATTGAAATAAAACTAAACAATTTTAAAAAATGAGTCACTTTTATGTATATGTATATCAATATTAATCCTTTCAAAGGCCAGCTTAGAAAATTTACATTTCATACTCTACAATTTTGATAAAAAAAATATTAATAAAATAATGATTTTCCAAAATACTGAACTTATTAGAAATTAATAACTGTACAGAAAGTGGTCAGTTTAAAAAGAAACTAAGTCATCAATAGTGAAAGTATGCAGAACTAACAAACAAGCCCTCATTTAGCTGATAGTGTTTGCTTAGTATTTAGTACTAACTGTGCTATACAAAATTAAGATTCAACTAAATGATGAATATCATACATAAACAAATACTAAGTGCATTAGTAATATTGTTATAAATTATTAAAGGACTATTAATTTTAAAGATTTTCTTATTATAACTATAGTAATGATTAATAAAAGCTTTCAATCCAGGTTGACCTGGCCATGACCTATATTTAAATACATAGCAATCTTAACTATTTGAACATAATTTGAATGGGTCAATGCCTTTATTGGTGTCAATAAGGAAAAAAATATTAAGGGATTCTATATGTAAAAATATTTTTGCGTATGATGTGAATGTCGAAAACAGTTATAGAATTAGAATAATAAAAGTGCAATAATAATATTTTCTTTGTGAGTTGTTGAAACTGATCTATGTTTATGTTTGCAAATGCCCAAGAAATTTTTAACTCGAGTTCCTTTTTCAATGTCACGATCAAACCGAAAAATGTGAAACATCTAAGATTTTTATACAAAAAAAAACAATTCCGTCTTATTTTATAACACAAAACTTTGTCATTGACACAAATTTATTGTGGCGCATAACAGAAAGTTTACGGAATAAAAATAATTGATAAAAGTTACTCACGTAGAAAAAAACTCGTTGATAGACTGGTCCAACTATACGTATGATTCACTATTTCACAAAAACTATACACCGTGCAGTTAGTTCCTCAATGAATTGGCTGTATCATCGCCATAATATCCGTACTGACTACAACTGACCCTGTTTTTCTTTAGTGTAGCTCAGCGTAGAATGACGTCAAAATATTCCCAAATAAGAGTCAATTAAATTAAATTGATCACATTTACTAACAAAGAGTGAATATAATTCTATACGTACGCAAAAGTTGGTGGAAACTATTGTAGTATGTATCGTATCGTAATTGCCTTGGAATTATTATGACTGACTGAATGAATAAAATAAACTGATTGACGATGACGTATGACGTATGTTTACGTGACAGCTTTCGGCTTGTTTATGAATTGTTTTTTTTTTTTTTTTGGAGTTTATGGCCTGGATACGAGTCCTTTAAGCCAATTTATGAATTGTGTGCCACAGACTGTACTGCTATTGATTAGCACCTAGTATTTTTAGCTTTGTTTTTTATTCAGCCGATGCTGCAAGTTTAGAGGAGAGAAATTATGATATTATTTCAATTCAAATGTTTTATATGAGATCGTAGGAAATACGCATTAGCTCCGCCCATGGACACCCGCAACAAAGGAGGAGTTACGAGTGCGTTGTTGACCTTTTGGGGATTAGGGATTTGGAGATTTTAGGATTGGGGCAAGGAAAGGAGCAATGAAAGGGGCCTTCGGTTACCTCAAACTGTATGTGAATTAATACTTTACTTCAAAGGTCTAAAATATCTAATTATTAAAGCCTTCAGCGCCATCATAAATTTATTAGTCCACTTGTTACAATTATGTACCTACATTAGATCCTTATTAAAGTAACTTACATTATAAACTATTGTAACTAAGAGTTCCGGCACATTATTATAATACTGGCTTCACTTCTTCTCTTCAGGCATCGCCTACGTGTATGTTGATAAAAAGTAGCCTATGTCCTATTACGTAGTGTATCCTGTGCTTTCATCCAGATCCTAGTCACACCAAAACGGCTGGACTGAGTAACCAATTATCGTGTAATAATAAACACAAACAAAATAGTCTTACATTATTTCCAATTTACGACAGCTCAAGTATAGAATAATACATGTACGAACCTGACTGCGACACTGTGTTGTGACTGGTGAAAGGTAAAAAAATATGATAATATTCTTCATTTTATGGTACTAAAAGAAAGATTTCGTACTTTTAGAAACTATTGTTTGTCTGCTAATAAACGCAGTACTTATATTCTCTTTGTCTGCTACAGTTACCATCATGCGATGCTGCTATAAATGAATCACACGAAATAATTTTGTATTCAGAATATTGGATATAATCACAAAATTATTTTCTATTAGTGTTAAATAATAATTGATATTAACGATGACATGATTTTACTTAATTAAGAAAACATAGTTTCAGTTCAGACCAGCATGTGCTGCGCACAGAAAGATAAATATAAAACATTTTAGGGCAATTCAGATTTTGTGTCTACACTCCTCTACAATTTGCAATACCTACCTGCATTAAAGTTGCTGTCATTAACATCTGACCGTAGTTGTCAAACTCAAACTGACAATTAAATGCTAGGTTGAATTGATTGTATGCGTCCTATCTTATTTGATGTTTTTGTGGCATTTCTTCGTTCTTTAGTACCCATTTAACGAATTTCATTGTTGTAATACGGTAACACAATTTTTTATACTTTTTATCTCAATAGTGCGTATTTTTTATATTGACAAACTATGGATTCGTCATCGATCGTCAGTTTTAACAATGATTCTACTTTCCAAACAACATTAAAAGGTGACTGTAACAATATCAGCGTTCATGAGTTAGCTTTACATGCCATGAGAGACCGTTGTTTATTATTACAAAGAAGAATTAACGCATTGGAAACTGATAACATGCGATTAAAACTAGATGTGGTAAAGGCTTCAGAGTGCTCACCATACACACCTATGAAAGAAGATGAAAAGCTTGCCTTACATCAAAAAATTGCAGAACTGAACAAACAAAAGTCAAAACTCATGCACCATGTTTTCATGGTTCAATGTGAAAATAAAAATCTTTGGAACAAAATCTCCACTTTGAAAGGTCCTGATAAGTCCAATAAGCAGCCTTTATTACGCACTAACACTTACATTCATAGCACTCCCAAAAATAGTTCACATTACCAGGAAAAATACTCAGAGTCAAGTTTGGAAGAAATATCTTTAAAATTGATAAATAGCTATATTCAAGAAAAGTCACAGTTGGTTGAACAATATGAGCAGATGGCTCAATTGCAGGATATGGATGATGATCTCTTGAATGCTGATTCAATTGGCTTCACATACATTGAAGATCCACCTACAGACTCATTAAAAGAAATTCACTGTCAAACAGAAAAACTTCAGTGCATGAAGAAGGAGCTTGTACAGCAAGAAACAGATTTAAAATTAGTACTATCTAAAGTTGAATCTGTGTTAAGAGGTATTAAATGCTAATAATAGAATATTTTCAGCTTAATTTGTCACACAGTGTTTGGTTCTCCAACATCTGTACTTATATTATAAAGCTGTAGAGTTGGTTTGTTTGTTTTAACGCACTTATCTCTGGAAGTACTGGTTGGAATTAAACAATCCTTTTTGTGTTTGTTAGTCCATTTATCAAGGAAGGCGATAGGCTATATAACTTCACGCTACAATATGTAGGAGCCGAGCTGTGGGTGAAACCACGGGACAGTGGCTAGTAAGTTAGAAACTGACCTATTTTTTTTATTTTTTGCAGATGGGTACAAGTGTCCAACATGCATTGCAAACAATGCTAAAATCACAACATCAGAGCACAAAGAGATTGAAACAAGTGACAGTCTAGCTAATTGGGCAACTCCTGCAGACTCTAGCACATATAATAACAATTTTAGTGAATTAAACACATCAGCTTACAAGAAAAGTATTTTAGAAGAAAGTGACAAGGATAATGTTGATGAAGCTTGTGATAAAATTTGCCCCATGTGTGGACAGACATTCCAAAAAGAAATTGCCTTTTCTGAATTTCAGTCTCATGTTGAAAATCACTTTTTAGGTGAAGCAGAACCTGACTCTATAACTGATCATTTTGATAATGTTCCAAATTCATTTGATAATATCATTTAATTACTTTACAAATTCATATTTATTTATACATATTATTATAATATATTATGATTGATCTGTATATTCCAAATGTTCCAAAATTGTTTGAACAAGTTATCTCAGGTCAATTTTATTTTAATATTACTTCTATAAATGTTAAGTTTCCTCATCTCATATGAAATAAATTTAAAGTAATTGGGTAATGTTCTTATACATGAGGGTCATATAAGGATTTCTAAAGACAGGTTTCATAATTCCTCAGAAATGGCTTTTAGCCCTCTGAACATGGCTTTTGTTTTTGGAATAAACCATTTTTAAATAAATGGAAATAGAAAACATTTGATTTAATGTCTTTTATCTAACAATTAGTTTTATAAAGAGGGGCACAATTTTTTTAAGCATTAACTGTCATACAATGATGCAAACACATATCATAACCACTAATAATGTTTTATCGTAGAACTATATAATGGAAAACTGTAATATTAAAAAAGCAAGTTATTAACAGTATTGCAGGGTAACCTTTGGATGTATCTGAGTATGGCAGATACTAAAATAAAAAATAAATCTACATGTCACTTATTGAAAGAACACATACTTAAATTAAGCTGTAGGAAAATATGCTAGACATTAATCCTAATTTAAATAATTGGTAATGATATTAGTACTATTTCATGTAGATAGAAAATGATAGTATATTAATTATCAGCATATTATATTTTAAGTGTAGTATAAAGTGATGGAAATTAAATAAACCTCTTTTATTTATCTCATATCTATTTATTTATAGTTTCTATATTACTAAACCAGTATATATGGTCACCTATATTATGCTAAATCGGTAGGTTTGACATCTGTAGACTTGGATGGTTGCTGTGTTGTTTTTTCAAGTAGGTTTTTGCTGAACCACTGTGGTCTTTCCTTTTTCATTTCAATAATTCTTTTGCCCTTCCAGAATTCCTTGGGCTGAAAAGAATAAAATATATGTCTCTGTAACATAAATTTTTACATTGCAACAGCAAAATAGAAAGCTAAGAAATTGCCCACGCATTCTGTACACACTGTTATAATACAAAACATGTCTGAAAAAATTTGTATAATCTTTATAAATATTATAAATATAAAAACCGAGCTACTCTCGCGCGGTTTCACCCGCTGCTCGGCTCCATTTGATCATATTGTGATGTTTTATAGCCTAGCACTCCGGAATATTGTAACTATCTATCAGTGAAAGAATGAATCCGACCAGTGGTTCCAAAGATTACCTCCTACATACAAACTTACAAATTTTACAGGTTTTGTAAAAACTTATATGCCTGTGATTGTAATAGGGTAGTTTTCTATTAGTATTTTTTAAATTTTTTAAAATTTAATACTGTTTTTACATCAAATACAAGCTAGTTGCAACATCATTAACTGCTTCGTGTCAAATAGCATACTACTCATTTCTATTAACTCATCAAACTCCAAGCAAAAACATTCACAAACCTATAGTTCTTCTATTGTGTCTTGAATTGAAAAATATGCACACTAAATATAACATTAACTTGATGAAAGAAAGTGTAATATATTTGAAGTGTATTTTTATAAAAATTTAATAATGTTTTTATGTCTGAGGAAACTACAAAATTATTTACCTGATCTGGTAGTGTTTCTCCCTTATACAAAACCACAACATCATGTTCAATTGGGTTGATAACAAGTTTTTCCTTTATCTGTGCTTGAATTTCCTCAGTTTCTTTCTTTACTTTAGTGTAACAGTTTTCTGAAAAAAGTTGTTTTGAGTACAAGTGAGATTTAATATACATTACAGAAAAAGAGTAGCATATTAAAAATATAATTAGTGAATCATTAAAATTTACATAATGTTAAATTTTCAATTTAAGTACCTACATTAGGTGCAACTTACAACTTTTCTGTTAATTAAGTGTTTGTAATCAAATTTTTCATACACACCACACAATCTTCGTTTTTCATGATGATGACCACAATTTTGACAAACTTTAATAGAGTTATTTGGAATAAGCATCTTCCATACATACTCAGGTGAACCAAATTTTCTTTTAAGTTTTCTTTCAATAGTTCTCCGGAATTTAGGTACAGCCAATAAGAACCCATCCCCAACGATGTCCTTAATGGAGAACTTTTTGGGAGTAGGTACAGGCTTCTTCTCATGAACATAGGCCAGTGCTAATTCTACAACGAGTAATAAGTAAGTTAATCCTTAATAGACATTTTTTTTATTCTAATAAAGTGTAAGAATTAATATAATATTAAAGCTTTAAGGTAAAATTAGGCAGACCTACAATAGAAGTGTTTTAGGAAATATAGAATTATGTTCCTCTCGTATAAGTTACTTACCTTTTGGTGGATGATTTCCAAATATATGAAACAAATTCCTTTCCACATTTTTCATTAGTTGTAATACGTGAGTAAAACGTGGAATCATATTGGTGTCTTAAAAAGATATTACAATATTATGTATGGTGAGCGAGGAATACGAAAACAACCTTTGGAGGTTAGGAATTAGAATTCTGTTGCAATGTTCAGGATTGATATGACACTTTGAAGTTTTGACAGTATGACAGCTGTCAAAACCCTCAATTTGGTGTTTTCAGCACTACCAATGGCCAATACTAAAAATTTAATCTCTAAAATCCAAATACGTTCCTGATATTTTATCCTTACTTGATTTTTAACTAAAATTCATATTACGTGTAATAATTCAGTTTTAGCACAATAAAACAACGTTACATAATTACAAAATAATTTTATTTAATTTTAAATTTGGTAACATTAAAGTCATGGCGACTTTGACAATCAGCTGTCTAAAAGTGGGGGGGAAATGGCGAATGCCTGTAAGCTGTGTGTGTTATGCAGTTCATATCCTCAAGCGTTTCGTTGCAGTTGTAGCTATGGCGTGTTTAAGTTCGAGTAGGCTCTGTGCTCGTGTTCAAGATAAGTTATTGTGTCAATTCGGACATAAAGTTCGAAAGCAAACTGTATTTGTGAAACTCAAACCTCCCGGACCATCTCCATTGCGAATATTTGGAAAGACATGTCAGGTCAGATTATTTTTATATTAGATTTCTTGTATTTAGTGAAATAATTTCACAGGTCTCCTTAAATTACCAAGACAAATATTTTGTTTTTAAATACTATTGTGCAATTGTTTTTTTGTGTTTATCAATGATAGTCCTCTTTACATAACAGCATGACAGTTTGGATCTAACCTCTCATTGTCAGCTGATCTAGTCAAATATGTTAAATGTTTTTTCCGACTACATATCCAATAAGAAATTTTAATATTGTCATTTTTACAATACTTTAAGACTTTAAGATGTTTGGTATAGTAGGGTCATTCATTGGAAATGTTAAAAGTGAAATCTTCGTGACTCGGTGAGCAGTGGGTCGCTTCGCGCTCAGCACAGGTTTGTTCGGCTTGTCGGATGATTTTCACCGTAAGCAAAGATATTCGCGACTTTTACTTTCATCAAACAAAGCGCTGCTCTGTTAGACCACCAATTTAATTTGTTTGCTAGTATTGGTACCACTTGTGTACCTTACCTACATAAACTTTCATTCATTGCCGCAAGCAGTATCGGTATTTGTAGTCGCAGTTTTAAGAGCAAAACCGTGAAGTAAGCAGTCTCTTATTAGTGCTCGTAAAACCATTCTAATTTAATTCTAACCAACCCCGACCTCGTTCAAAATAATAGCCGTGTAACAGGTTTTCAGGTCATATCACCTGATTAAAAAAAACTACGTCTACTGCTATTATTATTATTATTGGGTAGGGTTTTATATTAGTAATCTCATTTAACTAAAAAAATAATTTAGACAAAAAAAATTAAAATGTCTTGGAAGACCTATTTCAAGGTCTCAAGACATCAAAACAGTACCTACATGTTAGCAACGCGCGCCGTCGTGCTTTCTCGCGCAGCGTGCGAGCATGCAATGTCCAATCTCGACGACTCGTATAGAACTTTCTAAGCAGCAATTATTATTCGCATTAATATTTCATTTACTCCTTCAATTGAATTACTGTGCGATTTCTTTATCCATACCATAGGCAGCTATGTCGGCATTGGTCGAAAAAAAAAAGATATTTTAAGCAGTTTTTTATCGAATCGAAATCATAATAAGAAAAAAAATATTGGTCATTGACGTATGCGTAGCTTTACCTATGACAATCTCTAGACGTATGCACTGGCTCACGGTTAGTGAAAGTTGTGTGACGATTCGTTGAATTTTTAATAGCGCGAAAACTGGGTAAGTAACCTGTCGAAGGAGTGCTATAGCCTTTCTTATTTTTATTCTAGTCCATTTGGCGAGCATTGACCCCGTTTGCTGCGAGACATCATCGCACAACGCTATTTCTTTAATGTTGCGTGTCTCTAAACTTTTCGACTAACATGGGAAAGTAGACGGGTATGTTTCTAATGAGGGTTTTCTAGACAGTTTCAATTTGCAGGAGACCTAAAATCTAAGTTGAAGTCGTTTAAAATTGTTTTCCATTGCAATAATAGTTTATTAGGTAGATGGATTGGTTAGTCGACTGAATCGTACGTAACCTCCTGCGTAAATGAAGCTCAGTAGAAATGCGGAACACACAACTATTTGTTCAGTCGACATCATTGTATAAGAGTTTGCGGCAATACATACGATGTAGCATATGTTATTTTCGACTTACAACATTTACTTCAATCCTAAATTACGTGATGACAATACAAAAGGGCATAGAAAGCCGAGTGTTATGTTTGCTGCCATCGACTGAATTTTGTAACAGATTACATATTTGCAAATATTTCATTTGAAACGCACATCTTGGCCCCTGACGTCTTTGTGTCTTTTCTTTCGACCAATAACTTGGTTCAATTTGTTGGGCCATGAATTTGTCCTTTTAATCTGGAGAAAAATATTTTTCTCTGAAAATTATTCTAATAGCTCTTAAATTTTTGTTCTGTCATCTGACTAGCACGCGAAGAACCAAATATCTTTAGGCGACGATGAAAAACGAAGCGTAAATACAAATATTATCACTGTCATCAGGCCCCTTATGAATGGCATAACTGAACGCCGAATCAGACTAGGGAGTTAAATAGAAGGATTGACATAAGATAAATCATATCAAAGCTTATACTATCGCATACATTAATTGTTCCCATTTCTTCTCACTCTACTAGCGTTTGTACTATTCGTGTAGGAGAACTGTAATTTTTTCTTAATGTACAGTCGCTTAAATATATCACGCTTAGATTAACACAGATTTGTGATACAATAATGTAAATTATAAACACATTTTCCTTTTCGCAATATAGCAACGAATTTACTGCGGTCTTCTTAAAATTTTAATGTAAGTTGCGCAGTTTTTTGAAAGACTGCAAACGTGGGCTAGGATTGTGACATGCAATGACCACGGCCTTGTGAATATTTTATTTGATTATATTTCTGACATGATTTAACCCACAAAAGTGAGGGATCTTGGCCTTAATCTAAAAGCGCAAATTAATATATGTATTATTTATATGATAATCAAGACTATTCATTTGGATGGTCGTAACTGAAACTGCCTAGCTTTTACCAGTATTAACAGAAGTGGTCACTTGTGGGTAAACAGATGTCCTTGCAAACGTTGCATGTTTAGCTTGGTAAAATTAAGCAATCGCGTTTCGGTTGCCACTTGCAAACAATGAACTCATCAACGATGTCTCTGGAAGTAATTTTAATTGCCGTAACTAACGTACGTGAAGTTGTTATTTGATAAGAGACTACGAGTATTTCGTAGACTACCATTTAGCTTACTTATACGTTACTCAACACGAGTAAGCCTTACACGTAATTAACATCAGCATATTTTCCGATCTTATAATTGTTACTGGTTGTGGTGTTAAATCAATGACTTAAATCACGTTAATAGATTAAAATAAAATATTTCGTGGGAGTGAACTAGGCAACCACAGTTTCTTGTGACTAATACTAATTCCAGACAAAGGATTTCCGCACTTGGAATTGAATCACCCTAATTTATAATAATTAAAATTCCAAAAACAATTTCTCAAAGTTCTATTTATTGACGGCGAATAACTATAACGCCATTTTTGACGTGTTTTAACTTTACTTTGCAAAAATTCGACTTGCAAGTTATACATCGAAATGACACTATATTTGGTAATAGTCTAAAATGTAGCTTGTGTAAATTGGAAGTGCTTTATAAATTACATCCGTGATATTTCCGATGGATCCGTGAAATCGCGAGCCCAATGCCAACCTCAACTTTATTATAGTGAAGAGGAGAAACTTAATAGTATAAGTAGCAAATTCTTTCTGTAAGTAGAGTATAATAAATAGTCGATACAATAGACATAAACAATATAATTAGAAAAACGTCATGTAAATTAATTACAAATAAATAATCACCTACAGAAAGAATGTAAAAATTACTGTTTTTAACAAAGGTTTCTCTGTGGGCAAAAATTACGAGAAGCATACTTTCAAGGATGTTATACCTTTTATTAAAAACCCTTCACAACACGAAACATTACAAGGTCGAATTTACACATTTCTGTTAATAATGTACTTGTATTTAATAATATAATCAATCAATAATAAACGGTAATTTATAGTCTTATAAAGATTATAATTATATTATTGCTTCCCAGAACTTCATACTTTAGCTAGGTGTCTTCCTCGTATACAAAAATGCTATCTTTCATAGCCTTTATATAAATTATTCTATAATTGTGAAGCACCGTCACGTCGCATCATCGCGTCCTTGCCGTGTGCGTTGGCGTTGATTGCAATCTGTAAGCACAGACAATTACGTCCGAAAGTGTATAATCGTCATATCATGACTACTCTCCGACATTCTTCAGATAAACTCAGGGTCAAAGTGTGTAATGCTAGCTGTTGTGTTATAATGCATACTTTATCGATTCCGTTCTGTTTGACATGTTCATTCAAAACAATTAGCCGAAAAACTTTTAAATGCTATTAAAAGTGGTTCACAATCAGTCGCCATTTAATTTCTTACTTAATGAGCGAAGAAAACCCAAAGAAACTTGTTTGTGACATCGTGTAAAAACGGCTGTTATAATAATTAATATTTAAACTGATTATTATTATATAAGCATTAAGCTAAAGTTTATGACGTACTTGGTATCATTTCGTTAAACGAACATGTAAAGTACGCACCCATAAATAAATACAAATTATAGAAAGAGGACGTAATGCGATTGCATCTTGTGACATAAAGATGTGTAGGAGGATCTATTAGTAATTTTACCAAGGGCACATAGTTTTGAGGACATGCCAAAAAATTTCTAATGTTTACTTAGCTCGTGTAATGCTATGTTATGCTATCTATGTAAAAACTTCTTTTAGGGTTTGTTTCATGATGTCATATATTTTGGCACATCTTGCTTGGAAAAAACGTCAAATTATTCTTCCACCAGTTAAAACAAACAGAAGCTTAGTTACACATTGCGAAAGACGTCCTAAGTGAAATAAATTCTTAGCACGTATTTCGTGAAAATACTTTTAAATTTTTCATTATATTGTGGGATTCAATTAATATTTTTTATCAAATTATCTTTAGCCATTAATCTATCGTAATATCTGGCAAAAATGATATTCAAGTTTAATTATAATAACATAAATACTTAATTTATTGAACTTTAATTGTACTTCACCGTTTGAAACTAGTAGAGCTTTTCTCAAAAACAAACGTGAGTAACCCGCGATTTTTGGTTAATTCGTTTGAAATCCATAAAAATGAGTATTCTTGTGTGTATGTGTATTATATAATTCACAATTGATTAAGAGTCAACATCTATTGGAACAAATTGTTTAAATAACTTATTGCTATTACTTTTGTTACTTAAATGCTATTACTTTGTTCTCACGTGTATGTACTTCTACGTTTTTGTATGCGCGAAACACTTAGTGTAAACTTGATTCTTTATATGATTATTTAAACACTATTCGACCGAACATAAATGGTGTGAGATCGCCTATTTACACTCTTGATTTGTTACCTTTACCCTTGATTTGTTATCTATGTAGATATACACAAAAAATATTATTTCACTTAATTTGGCGGCCCCTCAAACTCTTATGATATAAATTACCACTTTCCGATTGAGAAATATTAAGCTTTTAGTTTCTGACGATTTTGTATTCCGTGGATAAAGGTACTTTTAAACGAAACCAGTTGTTCCCGTTAAATCCGTCCTTGATTCATAACCTAGCGGGGTGGGGCGTCTTCGACCGACATGCCTCTCGCCACAGACCGGTGGAGGCTAATTGCACCCGTGATCATTAACTACCAGTAGGTGCACTAACGACCTTGGTATACCATACGCTGTGGTTGCACTTACTGCTGGTACCAACTAACAGACACGCATATTGTCGAGGTCAAAATGAATAGTGTCCAATAAAACTGTTGATTGTTATACGTCATTATAAAAAAAGGTCACATTAAGATCGTGCACTAATTAAAATTTGTATCAATTTTTATTTGGGAAACCAAGGTTTTTATAACTTAGTAGTAGGGTGTTTCTATAAATTATCAAGACCATATTTCATAAAATAAAAGCAAAGTTTTACTTTTGATGTTCGATTTAAATTGTATTTAAAATTGAATCTCGATAAACAAAGGATTCTTAAAGTAATTTTAAAATGTCTAGACAGATTGCGGTCATATGATGCAACAACTAACATCGCATGCTAAGAGTAATTTTGTTCGAAGCTGTCGTACAAAATGATATTGACCCTTTCCGACCCAGACGAAGGTGTTTTTAGGATTTTGGGTCAGTTTGTTATCGATGTACCCATGATGTTTAAAAACTAATATAAAAATTAAACATTGTTAATAAATAAATCAACAACCTATGTTAGTCACATTTTTACAAGACACACCTAATAATGAGTCTTTGTAATCAATTCCGTCGTAATCATATGTTACTGCGTGTTTACCATGTCCGTTTAACATCCTTTTATATATTAACAGTTTACACATCGTAAGATGTCTAGGTAATAGGAAAATGCTTAATTATTCATGATGAGTTTGCGTCGGCGCAGCTGACGCGTTGATGTCTTTTACACGCGTTAGCATGCGCAACTACATTTACGAGACCTTTAATCTACTTTAACATCCAAACTTGTGTGATTGTACATTTTTTTTATTACTTACTTGGTTCACCATTATGAAAAAATATCTCCACCAGTAGAAATGATATGATCTATTTCACTTAAAAACTATACCTTATTTTTAAATTACCAAAGCTACTAAACTTTTTCATTGATACTAATAATTCTAAATGCATATACGTATACAATATAAGCTTCCACGTGAAACATTCCTGTGGTCTCAAACCGACTAAAAAAAGAACAAATACGTGGAGCGTATGAGAACCGGAGAAATCTCGCTAGATTAGAAAAAAATGTTTCAAATTATTTTGGATGCGGTGCACATGCATCCATTGTTCCTTCTTCAGATTGAATTTTGATGGGTACTTAAATTCGATAAGATTTGGTATAAATAATCACTTCTCAAGGCGCGAGCTATATGAACTACAATAATATCGTAATACGTTTAGACAAAAACTATTAATGAATGACATTCCTCACTTGGTTTACTACATAAAAAATGAGTAAACATAATTAATTCGTCAAGTGTGAGATTAAGTAAATTGAATATTATCAATATGTGGTTAGGTAAATCAGTCTCGGAATACATTAAAAGTAATTTGTAGATTTTATTCACGTGCAAGTTTTATTGTTATTTAAACAGATCTTCGTCATTGGAGACCTTGGAACGTGTAATGATCTACGACCAATTATTTGCATGTATTATAGGATGCTGAAACTAAACTAGGCACATTTTTGCTTTAGTTCGCATGTGGTACTTGAGCGGCATATAAATTAATATTTGTTCTAACGAGCGCACCTATTCATGTTTCGGTTGTGAAGTCATGACAAAGACGAGATATTTATGTATTTGCTTTACAACGTACGTTTTAGAGGTACACATCCTAGACGATACTACAATTTCCTATGTAAGTAGATGCACAACCTTCCAGTATAGTAAAATGAGTGTCAATGACTGCGAATTCCTAACACAGGATTCATCGGATCCTAGATCAATTTACAGAAACACCAGGAGAGGTAAAATTTTATAAAGTTGCGAAATGTCCGCGGATTATGGAGTAGTTCGTTTGGGAAGACATAATGAGTCTAAATGTCCACGTAACAGCTGTATATCAATCTAATGTACGTGTCAATTGATGCTCACTTCTATTTTAAGAACAGTGTTGGTCGATGCGCAAGAGCGTTCGAAACGCTCACTTTCTATCGTGTTTTAATTGTTATGTGCGCCCAGTAACACATGCAATTTTACGTGCGACAATGTTGTTATTCATTTACATTGAACACGGATATCATGATTTTTGTTTCGTATGCTTCCAAGCGATATTTGTTCTCTTTTGTTTGATAAGTCATACACCCGTGCTTAATGTTTGCTGGAACGTAGATAATTTAAGTCTACTAAAAAGGAAACCACATGGAAATTAATGAGACATTTAATGAGATTTTCCTTGTTAAATTAATAAGCTCTGTTTACATATTGACATTACAGGTAAGTGCGAAAATACTTGGAATTATCACGACTGCAATGACGTCAATAAAGTGCGTTGTTTTGTGGTTATTTATTTTAATTGAGCAGGATATCTTAATTGAGCCTGAACAAAACTTTTAAATCATATAAGGAATAGTCGTAAAAAATATAATTAAAGAATTACTTGTAGGTGTGTTCCGGGGTCTTATAAAAAACGGGATATAAGAAATACAGTGGTAAATCAATGGTTTCGTCAAGGTTTCAGAATACTCTCTCATATACTGTGACGTACATTAATCGGCTTCCTGGAGATAAATAACTGAAAGCTTATTACTTAAGGTCAACTGCGTATCTTTATTTATGATTTTAATAGTAGGAAATGGTCATTACTGTGACAAAGTGGTTAATTTTGTGCTTTGCATATGACCACAGGTCAAGTATATTTTTGGAACGTATCGAAATTACATACCTATCTGCATTCATTAAAAGTTTTCTGAATAATTTGTAATTGCGAAAATTGTGTTCAATTTTCTTTTACGACTTACTTACGTAGTTGCCTTGAAAACAAAAAGTAGCATTTATTATGAAAAATACTAATATTTATTTAATTGCTTACTACTTTGTCAATACTTTATATTTTTACTTGTTAAAAAAGCGCTTTATTTCGAAACTCAGCATATGTTTACATATTTATGTATTTTATTTTTCTATAATTTTTATTTTGTAACGGCGAATAGCAAATGATTTTGATTTTGGTTTCGATTAATTTACATTTAAATTAGAAATACTAGAGTGAAATGCTCATAAATAGTTTCAATACCAATCCATGTTGACTTATAAATGTGTTGATACTTGATTCTCAAATTCTTCAATGAAGACGTCCTTTACTGAGTTAACGTGTGTGAAATCGTATGGAAGTAATTATTATGCTACGCATCAGACGTCGCTGCGAATTAAGGATGTTGTCGAAACGGCTCCACTAATCCGTGTTATTTTTAATACATTATTACGTATCGTGTTGTATAAGAACTGATTGATGTACGTAAACAATGAAAGAAGATTTTAAAAATCTACCAAAGAGTTATTTATTAGAACTTTCTTGAAAAGTTTTTTTTTGTTCTGTTTCTCTTTCTATTATTTTAAACAAATGTTCTAAAATCACATTACAATAACAACAGTTATCATGACTGGCAACTTCTGCGTAAAGATAAACATTAGCACATGAACCTTGAAGCAAATTCACAGCTCGAACTACGTTTACTAATAATGCATTTGATTTTAAAATTGCAACATTTATCCTACCTCGCGCCTCCTTCATCACGAGCCTCAGCTGGAGAATGTCTGTCTGGTACTAACGCTCAATTAAAGCTTAGTAGTCCTTCGCAACGTTTAAAGTGTAACCTCAATAAAAGAGCTTTATTTGAGACTTATATTTTAATTTTGTTTTGAAAATGAATAATATAATAAGTATTCATTCTGTACGTAGAAAAACATTAATGCTTTCATTATAGACTTGTAGTTAGCCAAGCACGCACGGTTTAATTGTTTCATTTTTATGTAACCAGGCAGTAAATGAAAGTATACCGAGAGTTCACGGTCAGTACGGTTATGAATAAGATTTTTGAAATGAAAGTTTGGTAGACAGAGTCCTTTTCAACAGATCAGATACAAATATAATGATTAACATATGACACGTGGTAACTCTGTAAACAAAGAATTGCGCTCATATTTCACATGAAGATGTAATGTGATGCAATAAAACCAAAACGATGGTTTAGCTAATTGTTTTTTCTTAACTTATAACCGCAAATGCGTCCATCTATGGTCTGGTACCTGCTGGCACATACGTGCGTCGGTCGAACGTGTGGAGGTTTTGCAACACGGGCCGGTCGCAGCCCATCGGGCGCGTACTGCACTCGCTTGCAGTTGCATAAACGGAATTGCGACACCCGCGTATCGCGGTCACTGCCGCTGTCGACGCTACCACTTAGTTAAGGGCACCAGCCGCACCCTTCGTGCCTTGCCGGACACTGCTGACTGATCCAATGGACTAAATTATAAAATCCCAACTATAAATTGTAGACTAGGTACCAATTGCAACAAAAATAATTGTAACAAGCCAGCATAATCTTAATAAAGTAACCTCATTTAAATTTTTTATCAATTTTAATCGATTTGTAGCTGTTATTTAGTGTGTGTATGTCGTTTAATTACAGAGAGTCACAACATGCGGCCCTGCTTGCGGGTCGGGCGGTTTCAGCGCGGCCGCTTCGAGCGGGCTGGTGCGCCGCCTGGCGTCCAGTCTCCAGAGCACAAGCACTGGCTCCTTACCAGACTACGGCACACAGATCGTCGATCCTTACCGTTTACTGGAAGACGACCTCAATGGAATATATGAAGACATCAGATCCGTAAGTGCAGTGCTACTTATTTATAGCTATTGCGTGAAACTCAATTCATAAAATATAATTAATAATTAATGATCATATAAAACGCTATAAAGGATATTCTTCCAATATTTCTAACAGTATTTTTCAACGAATTCTATTAATATCAATTGCATTTAATTATTTCAAATTGTAATGTAACTTTTGTATTTCTATAAAAGGTTACATTAACTCAATAATTATAAATAAATAGGTGACAAATAGGGACGATGACTGTCATGAACAGAGGCACATAATATTGTATCAGATTGACTTTGTGATTACAATAAACAGCGAGTAACTGACTAAAGTAGACTGATCGATGTGTCATTCATTGTATCATAGGCCGCGATATAAAAGGGAACTCTTTATGATCCCACCGGTCGGCAGTGTGTCTATTGATCGGCAATTGTGTCAAAGTCACGACGTGTTAGCGCGTTGGTCAGTTCGGGTTGTGCAATTTGCACATCAACGGTAATTGAGATCTGTTGCACACAATACGGCTAACCGTAACGCGAATTATGCGCTGAATTACATAGTTTGCTTTCCAATTCTTTTACAGCAAAGTAAAGTTAATACAAAGATTGCTTCAACCGTAACTTTTATTTGTTTTGAAGATTTTCAATCATGCACAAAGGTCTGCACATAGGGATGCACTGCCAAAAATGTCTCACAATTACTGTGACTAAAATGGCTTCAGGGCACTGGAGCATGAGGTTCTAGAATATAATTGCAGAAACTGACCTTAAAGCAGTATAAACACCAAAATTAATGACATCCTCTGTATTGTGCTCAACGCCGGCAACCTCGCCAGTGTTGTATGGTTGCGCATTTAGCTCAACTGAACTTTTGACAACGATGTTGCAAAACGTTGCAATGCACTGTACTCGAGGTGTATTTACGTTCTAGTACTCAACAGCGATTCACTATCGCTCTTCTGATTTGATAATTCGAGTTAACAGCTCTAACTTCCTGGTTAATTCATAATATTGATTTATCCCTTGATTATTGTTGTCAGATTGGATATTTCCTTTAAAATTTTATGATTATGGCTTCGATTTGTTCATGAAGTGTCGCACAGACGAGTTACAAGAGTGTTGCCGGCCTTTTAAGAACTCGGACATGGGGATTGGGGGGAGAGGGGAGGGGGGAGTTATTCCTCTGCGGTAATCGCACTTACACGACAAAATACCGCGCAATCCATTTGTGCTAAAATATTTCTCTAATTTTACTTAATAAGAATGCGAGAAAGAGCTTGATCAGCGAGTTAGTGTCATCGGTCCTAGCGTATCACCACCGTTTGTGATGGCATTGCGATGCTAGATGCTCGTTTGCCTACTTTCTGTTTGGAAAACTCGTCTAAAACTAGGCCCGTGTGAATGCTGTACTGGCAACTTGTATATTTCTACACGATCATTTCCTCCACTTTTGTTGCCATATAGGCTGATTGCTAGTTTTTACTTAGTCTTAGTTTTACTACGACTTGTACAAGAACGAATAAATGATAACCTTTCTGTTTTGGTGAGACAGTAAGAAGTTTTCCTATAACAGTTTCGAGTACTGTCACGATATGGAAATTATCTTTTAATTAAAAACAATTGTTTTTCTCACCCACCAACACCACCACTGTGGACAATGTAATTAATATTCTATTTTTTTCTATAGATGTTTAACGCCTTGTTTAGATTAGTCACAAAATGGATTATCTCCGTGTAAGTAGTTATTTTCGTAATTAATGGGTCTCGCAGTGCTAAGCAATGAGTGGGAAATGGAAAGTGTGGCGTGGAACAGCGCTAAACTTGAGCATTGACCTTGTTTTCAGACCCGGTACGCAAAAACACCGAGCAAGTATTCTCATTACTTCGTTTCCGTTACCGACTTTAGTTTTACTCAATTAAATTACAGGAAAATTGTGTTATATTTTACAAGGCTGTTGCTATTTAGGTACACAAGAAAAGTTGCAACTGTTTCACTTAATATAGGTAACATTAAAGTTCAAGTCAATTATCAAAAGAAACCGGGCTTTTCCACCTGGTCAGTGTGATGTCATATTTCACAATAAATGTATTGTGTTAAATAAAATTTATTAGATTGTCACTGTCACATTGTAACTAACAGTTTCCTATATGACTGAATATTACCTGTCATTGTTGGTTTTACAGTAGCAAGGTTGTAGTATTGGCATCATTGTATTTATGTGCAAATAAACTTATTATAGGTATACTAAACGTAACTACCAGTTATTTACTAATAACGAAACAGTCAATGTGACATTGAGGGCTATTTGCACTTTGCATTAGTTAATGGCGTCTGGGCGAATTGTTTTACTTCAATATCATAATTTATTTGCAACCATATAAAATGCTTGTGGGTCTATGGGTAATATGAGCGGTCAATAATAACTTCGCGTATGCGTATAAATTTACTTGACAATGATTGAAATTATACATACCTAAAGCAATTGATACAAGAAAACCGTGTTTACTAACCAAACATAACACTTTTGCTACCATCCGGTATAAATCAAAATATTACCGACCTTGAAAGAGGTTCACACAACATCAATTTGTTTAAAAAATTAGTATGACTGTCAAATTAAATTGGTATATCTATTATGTACTTACCTCTATTGTACAGATGAAAAAGAAAAATAACTATTTTTATGAGTATTTTTTTAAACAGCTCATATTCCGTGATTATTGTACCTGTCCACTTTTAATATTTAATTGAATCGTAGACACTGCAAAATAGGTAAATACGATATTTTAGGACTAATAATATATAAGTTATGTAAGCAGGAAAGTGTCAGTGTACCCTTGATAGATTAAAAAAAAAGTAAATACTTGCCAAAGGAACTCCTTGGCTTCAAACTACATCAACAATCAAACAGTGCTTGCTGCTACTACGCATGATTATGAGCTAGTAGAAGGTTAATCCCATTGTAGGACATAGATTTCGTAGTGAGAACTGCGTGATGTTTTGTATGTACGGTCAACAGTAAGTGAAGGATCCATTCATCAAATATTTACTCTCATGTTTAGTCATATTCGAAACCTTAGTCTGTAATTACTATGTACGATACGTACCCTCACGATTTCATATAGTCATTTGAATTTTGAACAGACGGTTATTTAAGATATTACATTGCTTTGATTTCCATCTCTCAACGAACCTCAATGTCGGATTAGTGAGATTGCAAAAGGTTGAAAATTAATTTTTGAATATATTTATAAAAATGTCACAATTACGTATATATGTTTCTATTTTTAAGATTTGTGTTAGAGAAACTCTTTTAAAACGCGCTTAATACTGGATAGTTTACAGTGATAACGTCTTTAACGTTTCTGTTTAAATAATTATTATTTATAGTTGTGTCCGTGACTGTTTCCAGTATTACCAAACTGAAGCCTTAGGTTATTTATTTAAGGAAGTTTGTTGCAACGTTGGGTGCGCCTACATGAATATTTGGTAAAACTTACAAAACTATTATGCTAATCTACTCGCTTTACTACGTAAATAATAAATATATATATTATGTATATTGATATGTATATCTTTTAACATATTATCAGCTGCAGCTGATTAAAAAAACCATAATCTAATTGTCCTTCATAGACAAATCTGCCCACCTATAATAATAGTCGCACACTACTGCTGAATATTAAAAGTAGTTTTTGTTTCATAACACATTACATAGGTACTTACTTATTTTTATATAGGTCACCTGTTTTAGTATGAATTTGCATATAATCTTCGTTGGCGTAACAATAAAATTGATGTTCAACAATCATAATTGAAAAGGTTGTACCAAAAGTCGCATTGTGTGCCATGGTAAGAGGGCACTTGCGTCAAGCTTGCGTCAATGTACAGTCGATGGTGGTTACCACATTCACCGGCTGAAAACAACCACCGAGTCCTTCAGGCAGTTGCAAATTATCTCTGTTGTAACACCGTTTAGAATGCCTTCTACGGTCTCAACAAATGCGTATCATAATAATTAGCACTTACTTATTTTTTACGCGAGCACAGTCCGCAGTGTTGGACTTTAAAACATTGTAACGATTCGTCTCGCTGTACTTAGTAGATAATTAAATTAGCTGTAATATGATATTTATGTTGTACATACTTACCATTCAGACCGTTAAAGAATCTACTTCATTTCGACCGATAAAATCAAGAGCGTGAATTCTCTTATAACTAAGTACATATCTACAATGTACATATATAAAATTACTAAGTGATGAAAAACTCTGAGAGCTTTACAGAAATAAAACATCTGTTGTAATACTGAACGTAGACAACTAATGCAAATACGAAACTTAGTTTTTACCATTATACTTAACAAACACATCAAAAATCTGCATAAAATAATACAATTTCAAACAAAAATAACAAAATAATAATTATTAAGGTATACGATTTATTACAAGTGACAACTGATAATAAAATGGAGCGATTGTCTGATAAAATGAGTACAAATTGTTAACGTGTAGCCATAATAATGCATTTGATTATTTCGTCGTAGTAAGTGCTACGAGATTGTAGCACGTGTAATTGCTATATTTATCGAAACACAACGCACGAATCTGCGGTTATTAGCAGACTTATGACATTAATGAATATAGAAAGTGAAGGAAAGAGAAATGTCTCGATTTATAAGATGACTCATTTGTCGCCATAGTGAAATTGTCAATACAAACTATACGATTTCTTGAAATCTAATACTAAGCAGCAAGAAAGTGGACAATTTATGTAAGAAATTATAGTAATCTATAGTAAAATATATCGATATCAATGAGTTCACAGTTGTGGTTCACTTGGTTATCGTGTTTGTCAAATCTAATCAGCTCGTAGATTGATAGAGTTCGCATTTAACCTAGAGATTTTATCAACGACTGTAGATTATGGCGGCGATGGAGGCATATCCAAGACATTTACTGCAATCAAACAGTGTGTGCTGATTTAACTTATTTACACAACTTGTCTTTGTTGTGAACTTGCTTAATTCCAAACATGAGTTAACTCTATGATTTACTGATGCACCTTACAATATGCATATTAACCTGCCGTATATTTTAACTAATTAACAATTTATTACTCATCATATACAAGTAAAATACTTTAATGTCGAAAGTGATTTGATTCTAGAGCAACGTTATTTATTATATTCATTTGGATGTGATCCCAACTCGACTGTAGCCCCTTTGTCCGACAGGAGCTGGAGCGAAACACCAACCAATCAGAACTCAACACCATAGCCACATACTACTTCGATGGTCAGGGCAAGGCGCTCAGGCCGATGGTTGCCATACTCATGGCGAGGGCCGTTAACTACCACGTCTATGGAGAAAACAGGTATGCATTTACTATTGAAATTTCACTTTTGAACGTTTACAATATAATTTTGAATACCCAATTTACGACTGCAAGTCAATTTGATGACATGCTTATGTAACATTACAGTATGTAAACACTGATCTTATACTTGTCTGGTTCTGATGGTATTTTAAAACAAAACTGAATGAGCAAGAGTATATCCATTTGAACTTTTTTTGTTGCTTCGTTGTAATTATTTTTTCATAACATAGCGTTGTTAAATTAAATGGATTCTTTTATTAAATAATGTGCTGTATCATGCATACCACTCATAGTGGTAAGAAAGTAAAGAAAGTTAGAAAAGTCTGGGGTCACCCGCAATCTTGCTTTGTAGTACTAACCACAAACATTATGAGCGTAAACAATGTCTGATCACGTTGTGCTTCTTAATGATCCTAAAGAAAACCATCTGAATACTGTGCATAGTAATTCTAGCCTTGAAAGAGGGACATTGAAATTTAAAAGGCAAAGTGCAAAAGTCTCCCACAGTATAATTGACATTAAAATTTTGACCACACCCAATTGACCCGAAGAGTTGCTACATAAATGTATAGCGGTAGTGTTAATGTTAATAATATGAATGAACTTGATGAATAGGCATAATTTGTACCTACTGCTTAAGTAACATCGTGGTGAGAGTTGCCGAAACATGTTCCACACATATGCACGCGTCGGAAATTATATTGAGCAGTAGACAATCTTAGCTTCAAAATTGTTGATATTCGCTCTGTGTTTAAAACATAAACAAGACGAAAACAGTGTCAGTGGAAGTTTAAGCGAGACTGATATCTAACTTTTATTTCCGAGCCTTTCGCTTAATTCATTGAACTTGTTGCCTAACACTATCTGTTTGCCAACACTTTGGATTGCTTTCGGTCATCAGACCGTCCGCTCCATAGTTCAATGTCTCGCCGAGGACCTTGAACAAACGATTTTTCAAAGGTCTTTATGTCGTCACATATCGCGAGACCATTTATTGCATTAAATCGAAGGTTGAACTCTATGCTCAGATATAATAAGATTGAAGAAGATTAGAACGTAGTAGATTTTAATTAACATAACGATTAGTACAGATTGTTTATAGAGTACCTACTAGCGTATTACAATTAGTAGTGTTGTATTGCATAATAATAGGGATGCACACGTAACTATCAATTGTTTAAAAAAAAAATAGTTGCTGCCGAGATTCTATAAAATATAAGTTAGTTGGACTTACAGATACTTTCTGTGACTTTTAAACGTGAAGTAAAAAAGTAAGCATTCTGTGCTCAGTCCAAGTACTGAACATATTCTAGTCAGGTTAAAAAGAGTTAAATTCTCGCATTTTCTTTGTTTACTAGTGAGAATCGAGTTGGAATATATTTTTCTATCTTAAGGAAAATCTTAAGTTCTAAAGGAAGAAGACGAGTTTTATTTTTGCGTTCACTACAAAGAATTGTAATATATGAATAGTAAATGTCCTATTCAGGCATTGAGTGCACGTGCTCCCTGTGGTTCCCCTCTCCCCTCTTACATGAACTGAATATTTTAAGTACTTTTAACCACGCGCGATGTCGATGACGATACTACAAACGCGGTTTATTGGAATTTTGTTTGATAAATTTATAAATTAAATTATAAATTTAATAAAAAAAAAATAGTTATCGCAGCATAGGATTGAGTGGGCTGCAATCACGATATCATATAGATACTCGTCTTCGAAACCTTCACGCGAAGTATCTCTCACATCGCGTGGTACGCACGAGCATTAACCAAGGCTCTTATATCTTATTGATGCAATCGCTGCCTTTAATTTTTCTCTAAAAATAAAGCTAAGTATCACGAAACTAATGTTAATTGTACATTTGTAATAAACATTAAAGTAGTGCAATTAAAACTTTTGCATGTGGAGTAATAATGTAATAAGGGCGCATAAAAATCGTAGATACATAGAAATTGATAAGATTATTACATAGTTTTAAACTTACATTTGTTTGTACGAGAATTTTCCGGTTAAAATTCCATTATGTCAATAATTCATCTCAAAGAAAACGATCGCTGTTTTAACAATAATTTAACTAACAAAGAGTCATAATAATACATCATACATAGTATCCAGTTTCATGTCAGTTAACGTATGTAAGTAAATGTTGTAACAAAATCTCGCTTGAGTAGTTCTAATGTACGTAATTGTCTGGTTTTGAGTGCATTCATGGCTAACGGCGCAACGCTCCTGTTTGATTCGTAATCGCGCAAGTACTCCAATAATTCGCTAGTTAGCAATTAATTCATTAAAATTTCTCTAATAATAGCAACACTAATCACTAATACTATATAGTCACTTAAAGTTTGGATAACAGTAAGCTACAAATTAAGTAAATATGTGTTCTATGTGTAGTATTACAATCACATGTTGATTAAAAAGTACTTCAGTGTTTTAAAATGTGTTCCTAAAGTTTTAAACATACTGTATTTATTTTCCCAAAAATATTCAAGCGTATGACCAAAATATTCCGTAAGTGATCCTTTTGGTTATATTCGTTGCAAAGAAGTCAATAAGGAATCTTAGGTACGTCACTGCCGTTGCGAAGAACATGAAACATTACATATTGTCTGATTATTACATTCACGCGAAACTTGTTGGAAAAACTTAACCATCGAGTATTTATTAGCTAAACGTGTTTGGTATACATCTGACCGTGTTAGATCAACTGTTACCACGTCTAACACTTGTAGGATATTAAAGGCATTGTTTCAATACACTTCGTATTCGTGTATCGGCATTTGAGAAAAACCTTATAAATCTTAATAAAAATATAATACGGACTATTATATGTATAATCCAATAATTTTGTACTTATTTAAAGTATGCAGTGTACTTTTGGTACTTATACTTATAAATGTTATTGTTCAATTATTTGCATACAATAAATTTACTTGTTACCTTTAGTATAAAAGTAATGTAAATAATTACAGGTGTGCCAATAATATGTTTTCATACATTTGTTTTAGGTTTTAACCTTAACGTAGGTTATTGTTGATTAACTTAATTAATGTTTTTATTTTGTGGTCCAGTGCATTGCTGCCGTCACAGCGACAAGTGGCGATGATAAGCGAGATGATCCACTCGGCATCGCTCATACACGATGACGTCATAGACCAGAGTGATTTCCGCCGCGGGAAACCCTCCGTCAACGTGCTCTGGAATCACAAGAAGGTAAAGACTTTTTTTAATTAGTTTAATCGTCGGTATTGCCAACACTGCAGCGAGATTGTGCCAGATACGCTAGCTATGTACAAAGAGGCTGAACACCTTTTTCTCTATTTCCCAACTTTTAATATCGCACCAACAAGAACCTCGTCTTGTTCTCAAGATTTGTTTAGTAGTACATACAATAGTGAAGTATTATTCTAATTTAATCATCAGATTTATCTTAAGTTTTCAAGTACATTTGAAAAACTCGAGTTTTAATTACATTTTATCATGATCAACAAAGTTCTCATTGCACGTAGCACGTATTTATAATTGGGTATTTTACTTCTTTACGAAATCACAATACTTCTGTACAACATTAATATATTAACTTTTGGTGTGACATTAAACTTCAGTACACCTACACAATAATAAAGTGATTGTAATGTACTGAGAATATTCCATAGAAGTCGCGTTAATTCTGTACGCATAGCGGATTCTTATTATCATGTCGATCAATTCATCCAACATTGATCGTTTTATGTAACAGAAGTGCGTAAGTTTACAAGAATAACATATAGACATGTGTTCAGAATTGTTCCCGTAGCATACGAATGAACCGATATTTATGGATGTGACTGTCTTATGACATCGATAAATGTGCTTCTCTTATGTTGGTTGAAGCAATACTCTTGTGTGTATGTTTAAATTAATTTAATTAGTACACAAAGGCGTTATGTACTTCATTAATCGTATTTAATTTTGTGTTCTCTTCGTGCTTGTGCCATACTTTGTTTACTTATTCTATTGATTAAATATGTTTATTGAAATCGTAATTATAATTCAGTTTAGGCAAGTATGTTTTAAGTGGAGCATAAAATATTCTATAGTAAATAAAACTAACTAAAGCAGCCATTTGCACTGAAACTCTAATTAAGTATTTCTACCAAATGCTTAATATCACAACTTACGACATTTTTGATAGAGACATACATATTTGTATTTTATGAACACTTTTTGTATCGGTTTAATCAGGAAATTCCCAGTGTGATGAGAATACACAATAAGTGATTATTAAGATGATTATTTTAATGCCAGGCGGTCCTGTTGCATGCCAATTTCAAGTTGTTACAACCTTGTCATTGTATGGGACACTGTAAATAGAACGAGAAGTGGCTACTGGTTTTGCTCTATGTTAGTAGATAGCCTATTGTATTGGGATAAACCGAGCGCCGATTAATATGTGTGCCATGTCTTCACGATCACGAGCCGAATGGAAAGTGCAAATGGGCTAAGTACATAAATAAGGAGCGGCTATGTCTTGTCTGTCAGTCGGTCTGTTGCTAAGGCGGTGCCGAATTTCTGATCGATTACGTGCGTCACTATAAATCAATGCTTAATTGGCTCACAAAAATGGCTACGTAAATATGCCAGGCGCAGTTTTATTAGCAAAAGTAATACAATAGAGCGCCTTGGTGCTTTGGTCGCTTGTCTGTAAAATCTGGGTTAAGATCACGATTCTTCATTACTCGTTCTATTATAAAATGATATCTTGACAACCATTCACGCGTCTATAAATTAATAGATGCAGTCAAGGTCGCAACTCAGCCTTCAATACATTTTTAAGATTTTAACGTTTAATAAATCTACATTCTCTTAAATTTTAACGTTTAATAAATCTACATTCTCTTAGGTTTTTACTAAACCATTAATAATAGCAAAATTTAGGACCAACAAACTGCCCAAAAAAATTAAGCGAGTGTTGTCTTTAGCAATATTAGTTTAAGCTTTAAGTCGGCACACATTATTTACCCATTTGTTGTGCAAATATTTAACTTCGTAGATACACGTTCGTCATATTCAATTTCGTTTTCAACGTGACTGTAGAAAGCTGGTTTGACATGATTGTAATAATTATTCAATAAATCACCATTAAAATATTTATATTTTCACAATCATTCTCATTTACGAAATCTAGAGTTGAAGTAAGATAGTCGTATAAACGGAATATGTATGTGAACAATATACAGAACCTTAGTACAATATTTAAATTATTCTACTAGACTATGTTTAGGTAAACACTGGTTTTATAATTCAGTCAATGAATACACACCCGAGAAAACCTGTTCTTGACTTGACCCACTTCGCGTTTCACTAAAGTTAATAAACTTCTTAAAAGTCCAGGTTGTTGCCCTAAACATGAGAATAAATACTATATGTGGGAGGCAGACCGAGACATTCGCAGTCACGGCTCTATAAAAAATATTGTTTATCACTTGAGCGATTATTATTTTCTTTGATTTCATGAATGGGTGCGACGTTAAGGCAGTGCCGACGTTCAGTCGCGTAGTATTCGAGTTGTTGTTAGCTGATTGGCTCTGTCAGACAGCCTCACCTACTCGCACTGGGCCAAAAGGCAAGCGACCCTCGGTGAAAGTACCTCGCGGCCTCATCACATCAATAAAATTGTTTATACCGGTCTTTTTGATGACTCGTCGAGTTTTAAATTTACAATTAGAAACTATGAACATGGAAAATTATAGTATGAGGTGGCTTATAATGTAATATTACGAACATTTCATTATACTATCCTAAATCCTCATTCTATTACGTATGTAATAATTATTATATCCTCGTAAATGTCCAAATTTTATCGCTACACATGTTTTGTGGACACGTTATCGGACAAATTAACCTCAAAGTATTGTTATCGTGTTATCTGTGGGCATAGTATTGAATGATCGTAAACAGAAGCTCCAAGCGTCGAATGACGTTTGTGACACGATCATTGTGTAATATTTCCCTCTTTAAATGAATATATTTGTTAAAGCTATTATGGTTGTTAGATCGGTCAAGGCAATTTTCGTAAGTATTGTCACAACAGAATAACCAATATTAGGATTGATTTTGAGTACCTACCATCCTACAAGTTTAAATGTTTTATTTTTATTATAGAAATAAATTCCCACGTAGTTCCTTATGGACGATGTTTTAACAAAGAATAGATGTGTTTTGAATAGAGATTAGTGAAGAACAAAGCATTTGATTCAGTTTTGTTACTGCTACGAATCTCGTATCTACGCTACGGGTGCTGAATGCTTTTATTGCATTGTACATATATTACTCGTTATCTTATTATATCTACTTGTAAGCAGTTTGCGTTTGCCTTCGTCCTTCACGAACAAATGCCTATCCTGCGATTACATCTTCCGGCGGTGTAATCTTCAGTGTGAAACGTTTTATGAATCGACAATGCATTTAATCGTACGTTGTATTCTTCGTCTAATGGCATGATGGCGAGAATGTCCCATTAAACTCGTTGAATGTTGTGCAATTTGGGTCACGACCTTTGCGTTTTATTCACCTAATTTTATTTTGAAATTCATTATTTATTGTATTAATATTTCAAATTTAATTTATTGAATATTTTTAGTAACTATTATTATTTTTAGTAAATAACTTTTCACACTTGAAACATTTTTGTTGCTAATATTAGTGTAGATAGTCTTGAGTTAGTTCATTTATCTCGACACTACGGAACGGATGTTGTCATAGTTCGCTAATACTAATTTAGGATCTAATAACCTGTATTTGAGTTATATAATCCAAACAACCAAATGTTGGTCTTGGTACAGTCTATACCTACCATATACGTATGTATACATACATTTTGTGTAAATATGGTATGATGGTAATAGGGCGCGTCTGTTTGTATTTTACTCATTTATGACCATGTTGCTGTGCACGGATGTAGAATATTTACACTGCCGTAATGTGGACAAATTATCTACTAATTCACTAATTACGTTCTCTAAGGGTCAATAGATTACGATTAAGGATTTAACACAATTATGTAACCCAACACCTTTAGCTTATGCCGGGACCGTCCTTATTCGGTCAACGACCGCTGCAACTGCGGTGTGTCAAATATGTATGTATTCCTGCTCTATAAAAGAATGGTATTGTATAGAGTTGTACGACAATAGGTAGGAGTCTTCAACAACGTCAGTAGCGAATTTCCGATTCCTATCGTATCTGAGGCTATTGTTCAGAATATGTCGCGGACCTTATTGTTCACCTTGTCTGAGCTGTGTTATGGAATGACGAGTTTAAATGCAGAGCGTACGCGCTTGGAATTTATGTAAAATATGAAACATACCAAAACGTCTGGACAAATTATAATATAGGTAGTATTCCAACTTCTTGTATGTGTGTAGGTGGGGCCTTCTTGGTAAGACACGATTTATTTCGTAGCGGGCGGGCGGCGGCGGCAGCGACACCTGTTTCTTTGTAATCTCACCTGTGAGGCTGTACCCGACCGATGCCGCCATGCTCTGACGCAACTTCGTTTCGTATTGACATTACCATATTTAATCTCAGTTAATTTTGATTTCAGCGTGGTATTTCGTTTTTACAATTTTATGTTGAATAATCATGTTATCATACACTGAACCTTAGTATTTCCTTACAATATTATTCGAGATTATATTTTATTCGTACGTGTATAAAAATACTGTATTTAATTCAAACATGCATTCTCATGCATCACACGAGCACTGAACACTGTTGTGAGTTTTGTTGTGTTGTAAATGCTTTCTAAAAAAAGTCGAATTAATTGTTGATCGACAAAATGTGGCTGTGGGAAGGACACGTGTGAGCGGTGGCTTTGGGGCGCTGGGGCTTTCGTAGCTTTCACCGGGGAGTCGCGGGATGCGGGGCGTGGAGCTCCGTCATCTATCAACATTAACGGATGCCAGGTGTTCCGATGTACGCTCGCGTAACATTCACTTGATTATTAATACTTTATGAACCTGTTACGTTTATTGTCAATTCTCATAAAATTAAATTAATTTTCGTCTACGAGCTAATTTATATCATGGCGTTATTGTATCTTACCTGTTTTCGGCATTATTATTATTAGATTTTTACACAGACAGGGTTTCTGTGTCTAAACCAATGTTGCAAAACATTTTCTATGGTATTGTTAGGGAATAGATTTCATCTGTGAAAATCGAAATTTCTCT